CAGAGATCATATTCCACGAAGGGCCAAAAGCTTCTGAAACACATCTGTTTATGACAACAGTTTGCTTTCAGCATGGAGGGTCAACGTCTGTAAAGTGCTTATCGACCTAAGGTCACTGAAACATCACAATGGGATTAAGGCTGGGCTTTAGTCATTCAGTTGTGTGTGTTTTTAGATTTGCCCACTGTGTTTGAAATCCAATGGGTTTTTAGGTGGCATGCTTTCTAGTAGCTTATCAAACAACTAGTCCCATCTCGCAGTCATTCTCAATGTTAGAGCTCACAGTCTTGAGGCCAATGCAGGGGCATATACAGTGCATTCGGAAAGTATTCAGACCCCTTCACTTATTCCACATTTTGTTACGTTACAGCCTTATTCTAAAATGGATTCAATTGTTTTTTCCCCTTATCAATCTACACGATACCCCATAATGACAAAGCAAAAACAGGTTTAAATTTTTTTTTGCACATTTTAAAAAATAAACTGATATCTAATTTAAATAAGTATTCAGACCCATTACTCAGTACTTTGTTGAAGCCCCGTTTGGCAGCGATTATAGCCTCAAGTATTTTTGGGTATGACGCTTCAAGCTTAGCACACCTGTATTTGGGGAGTTCTGCCCATCCTTCTCTGCAGATCCTCTCAAGCTCTGTCAAGTTCGATGGGGAGGTCTCTCCAGAGATGTTTGATCGGATTCAAGTCCGGGCTCTGGCTGGGCCATTCAAGGACATTCAGAGACTTGTCCCGAAGCCACTCCTGCATTGTCTTGGCTGTGTGCTTAGGGTCATTGTCCTGTTGGAAGGTGAACCTTCGCCCCAGTCTGAGGTCCTGAGCGGTCTGGAGCAGGTTTTCATCAACGATCTCTCTGTACTTTGCTCCGTTCATCTTTCCCTCGATGGACTAGTATATTGCTTTTTTTCTCCCAGTCCCTGCCGCTGAAAAACATCCCCACAGCATGATGCTGCCACCACCATGCTTAACCATAGGGATGGTATTGGCCAGGTGATGAGCGGTGCCTTGTTTCCTCCAGATATGACGATTGGCATTCAGGCCAAAGAGTTCAATCTTGGTTTCATCAGACCAGAGAATCTTGTTTCTCATGGTCTGAGAGTCCTTTAGGTGACTTTTGGCAAACTCCAAGCGGGCTGTCATGTGCCTTTTACTGAGGAGTGGCTTCCGTCTGGCCACTCTACCATAACATCCTGATTGGTGGAGTGCTGCAGAGGTGGTTGTCCTTCTGGAAGGTTCTCCCATCTCCACAGAAGAACTCTGGAGCTCTGTCAGAGTGACCATCGGGTTCTTGGTCACCTCCCTGACCAAGGCCCTTCTCCCCTGAGTGCTCAGTTTGGCCGGGCGGCCAGCTCTAGGAAGAGTCTTGGTGGTTCCAAACTTCTTCCATTTAAGAATGATGGAGGCCACTGTAGTTTTTGCTCTTACATGCACTGTCAACTGTGGGACCTGATATAGACCAGTGTGTGCCTTTCCAAATCATGTCCAATCAATTGAATATACCACAGGTGGACTCCAATCAAGTTGTAGAAACATCTCAAGGATGATCAATGGAAACAGGATGCACCTGAGCTCAATTTCGAGTCTCATAGTAAAGGGTGGGAATACTTATGTAAATAAGGTATTTCAGTTTTTTTTTTTTTTAATACATTTGCAGAATTTGTTTTGTTTGTCATTATGGGGTTTTGTGTGTAGATTGATGAGAAAAAATATTTTGATCCATTTTAGAATAAGGCTGTAACGTATCAAAATGTGGAAAAGTTGAAGGGGTCTGAAAACTTTCAGAATTCACCAAAATTAGGAACACCTGCTCTTTCCATGACATAGACCGACCAGGTGAATCCAGGTGAAAGCTATGATCCCTTATTGATGTCACCTGTTAAATCCACTTCAATCAGTGTAGATGAAGTGGAGGAGACAGGTTAAAGAAGGATTTTTAAGCTTTGAGACAATTGAGACATCGATTGTGTATGTGTGCCATTTAGAGGGTGAATGGGCAAGACAAAATATTTAAGTGCCTTTGAACGGGGTATGGTAGTATGTGTCAGGTATACTGGTTTGAGTGTGTCAATAACTGCAATGCTGCTGGGTTTTTCACGCTCAAGTTTCCCATGTGTATCAAGAATGGTCCACCACGCAAAGGACATCCAGCCAACTTGACACAACTGTGGGAAGCATTGGAGTCAACATGGGCCAGCATCCTTGTGAAACGCTTTCAACACCTTGTAAACCATACCCCGATGAATTGAGGCTGTTCTGAGGACAAAAGGGGGTGCAACTCAATATTAGGAAGGTGTTCCTAATGTTTATTTTTATTATTATTATTTGTTTATTACGTTCAGTGTGTATGTATGTATGTATGTATGTATGTATGTATGTATGTATGTATGTATGTATGTATGTATGTATGTATGTATGTATGTATGTATGTATGTATGTATGTATGTATGTATGTATGTATGTATGTATGTATGTATGTATGTATGTATGTATGTATGTATGTATGTATGTATGTATGTATGTATGTATGTATGTATGTATGTATGTATGTATGTATGTATGTATGTATGTATGTATGTATGTATGTATGTATGTATGTATGTATGTATGTATGTATGTATGTATGTATGTATGTATGTATGTATGTATGTATGTATGTATGTATGATTTTGCAGGTTTTCCTACTTACAAAGCATGTAGAGGTCTGTAATTTTTATCATAGGTACACTTCAACTGTGAGAGACGGAATCTAAAACAAAAATTCATTGTATGATTTTTAAGTAATTAAATTGCATTTTATTGCATGACATAAGTATTTGATACATTAGAAAAGCAGAACTTAATATTTGGTACAGAAACCTTTGTTTGCAATTACAGAGATAATACGTTTCCTGCAGGTCTTGACCAGGTTTGCACACACTGCAGCAGGGATTTTGGCCCACTCCTCCATACAGACCTTCTCCAGATCCTTCAGGTTTCAGGGCTGTCGCTGGGCAATACGGACTTTCAGCTCCCTCCCAAAGATTTTCTATTGGGTTCAGGTCTGGAGACTGGCTAGGCCACTCCAGGACCTTGAGATGCTTCTTACGGAGCCACTCCTTAGTTGTCCTGGCTGTGTGTTTCGGGTCGTTGTCATGCTGGAAGACCCAGCCACGCCCCATCTTCAATGCTCTTACTGAGGGAAGGAGGTTGTTGGCCAAGATCTCGCAATACATGGCCCCATCCATCCTCCCCTCAATACGGTGCAGTCATCCTGTCCCCTTTGCAGAAAAGCATCCCCAAAGAATGATGTTTCCACCTCCATGCTTCACGGTTGGGATGGTGTTCTTGGGGTTGTACTCATCCTTCTTCTTCTTCCAAACACGGTGAGTGGAGTTTAGACCAAAAAGCTATATTTTTGTCTCATCAGACCACATGACCTTCTCCCATTCCTCCTCTGGATCATCCAGATGGTCATTGGCAAACTTCAGACGGGCCTGGACATGCACTGGCTTGAGCAGGGGGACCTTGCGTGCGCTGCAGGATTTTAATCCATGACGGCGTAGTGTGTTACTAATGGTTTTCTTTGAGACTGTGGTCCCAGCTCTCTTCAGGTCATTGACCAGGTCTTGCCGTGTAGTTCTGGGCTGATCTCTCAACTTCCTCATGATCATTGATGCCCCACGAGGTGAGATCTTGCATGCACCTTGGCATAGTTTCTACAAGTGTCTGGAATTCTATTGGAGGGATGCGACACCATTCTGCCACGACATATTCCATAATTTGGTGTTTAGTTGATGGTGGTGGAAATGCTATCTCAAGCTCCGCTCTAGAATCTCCCATAAGTGTTCAATTGGGTTGACATCAGGTGACTGAGATGGCCATGGCATATGGTTGACATCGTTTTCATGTTCATCAAACCGTTCAGTGACAACTCTTGCCCTGTGGATGGGGGCATTGTCATCCTATGGGAGCATAGCCTGGTAGCCAAAATAATGGTCAAAGTTACTATGTAAAGTGCTTTTTAATACCGCAGTAGGTAGAAAGGCGCTATATAAAGCCAATCTATTATTATTATTATTAAGATGGCCTGCCCAGAATTTGTAATAATGAGCCTAAGCATGATGGGATGTTAATTGCTTAATTAACTCAGGAACCACACCTGTGTGGAAGCACCTGCTTTCAATATACTTTTTATCCCTCATTTACTCGTGTTTCCATTGTTTTGGTGGTTACATATGTGTGTTTTTCCCAGTATTCATATTTCAAGTTGTTACATATTTCATGATTTACCGTTTTAGACTATTTCACACAAGGTCATGGACATTTTTACAATCTTCAGAGGCTGTGCTTCTCCATCCTGGTCCCGGGGACCCAAATGCAGGTGCATTCATAGCAACAATCCCAAATCCTAACCATGACCAGTTGGGGAATTCAAAACACCTGGACCAGTGGCTACAGTATTTCTACCCTTCAAAGCGCTTTGCTTGTTAGCAGAAGGGCTGTCACCGTGCCGACAGCCCTGGTTAACATTAGTAGGCTATAAGCAGGGAAGAATGCTAGGCACTGTACTCTTGTTTCCATGTGTATACAGAGGAATGAGGGTAGAGACGGTATGTTGCTCTCAATGTCACACAGCCAGGCAGGTGCAGGGCTATTAGATTCCTATCACTGAGAATTAGATATGGAGCTTTGATGGCCTCAAGGGTGGCACTGTCCTACAATCTTGCAATGGGCATCTTTAGCCTTCATCAACTGTGATCATAAAGTCTGTAAAGTTCTCTTTTGAGAACTTGTTCTCAACTGGTTTACCTGGTTAAATAAAGGTGAAATAAAATAAATAAATAAAAATGTGAGCAGTAAACATTTCAGTATTTCATATCGTGAAATTAAAATGTTAAAGACATGCTCCGGGACTTTGGTGACTAAAAAGTATACAAAAGTACTGGGGAATCTCTTTAAAGGAGGTCATTATGCTAATATCCCGTGTTTGTCTCTCTCTGCCCCCCCAGATGTTCCTGACAGTGTACCTCAGTAACAATGACCAGCATTTTACCGAGGTGCCCGTTACCCCAGAGACGCTGTGCCGGGACGTAGTGGAGCTGTGTAAGGAGCCCGTAGAGACCGAATGCCACCTGGCTGAGATGTGGCGTGGATCTGGTGAGCCTTCTCCCCCTTTACACCTGTAGACGCCTGTCAATCTGACAACTAACACCTGTAGAGGCCTGTCAATAAGGATCCTGGACCAGTAACAATACCTATGATCAAGTGGTTACGTGGGAAAAACACATCTAGGCTAATCTTCTAAACAAACTCCAAGAGGATATGGAACATAAATAGGGAGAGTTTTGAGACAAAATACTATTTTGGAAAGAACACAAAGAATAGAGGTGTGCCAACTGACCAGACTTGATGCTTCCTCTGAAGAGCTGGTCTTTGTCTGTGCAGTATCTCTGATGCTAATAAGCTGGTTGTATTATCTTTGTAGCCCGCCACACAAATAACAAACCTCTCTCGCTAGTCTCAAGTGTCTCAATAATCCTAGACGGGAAGATTTAATAAATACAGACTGGGAACCAGATTTATACCTTTGTACATTTTGCACACTGTTTTGCTGTCTGCACTGATGTAAAACCGTCTCTGTGTTCTAGGCTTGGGCGATGTACTGTTAAAACAGAGGTATTTTGAAATACCGACGGTATAATTGATTTTTTTGGGGGGGTTGTGTTACGCCACTGCTTATAACTTTAAGTTAAGTATAACTATAATAAATCTAAGATGTGTCAAATAGATTATACATTTACATTTACATTTTAGTCATTTAGCAGACGCTCTTATCCAGAGCGACTTACAGTTAGCGCATACATTATTTTATCGAACCCACAACCCTGGCGTTGCAAATGCCATGCTCTACCAACTGAGCTACATCCCCTGCCGGCCATTCCCTCCCCTACCCTGGACGACGCTGGGCCAATTGTGCGCCGCCCCATGGGTCTCCCGGTCGCGGCCGGCTACGGCAGAGCCTGGATTCGAATCAGGATCTCTAGTGGCACAGCTAGCACTGCGATGCAGTGCCTTAGACCACTATTATATCCAGCTCAGGGGTCCAGCTATGAATTTGGTTTGCTAACTTGTTAGCTAAGATGCTAGATGTCAAGATAAAGCTTTTTGGTTACAGCAGAGACATTCAATCCCCTCCTCGATAAAGATCCCTGTTGCATAAATAGTTTTATGTGTCAAAAACATTAGCGCCCCTTGTGTGCACTTCCGGTAATACCGTATGCCCTGGTATGGTACAGAAACGGTATGACGGTATGAAAATCTGGATGCCGCCCTACCCTAGTGTGTACTGTCCTGATTATTGGACAGTCCTTTTTTGTTAAGAGTGAAGGCATGAGCGATGTGGTTGGAATGTTTTAAATACCTTTGTGCAGTAATCAACCAGGTGATTAGTACTTCCGTATGATGAAGAGAAGATGGATGAGGGTGTTTAGAGGTTGGAGTGGTTGATTAATAGGCCTGTTGGATCAGTGCCAGCTCATCTGAAAGTATCAACAACAGATCATTGTCCTTCCCAGAGGCACCACCTCTCAGGGAGCTAAAGTGAAAATGTGACTCGTTTCAGGAAACTAGGCCTATGTCGCGTGTCACTACTTCACAAGAGAGGCATTTGAACGTAAACATAATTGTTTTTATCAAAATGTGTTTTTTGGGGCAGAAATGCCTTCTGGAACATGTGAACTTTCATGTGACTTAATAACAAACATGTATGCCAACTGTAAATACAAATACAATTGTTAAATTACGAACCTAGTTTGTTTAGCCACGGAAAAAGACAGGAACCTTCCCACTAGCCATGATTGGCTGAGATAATGGTTGGGCTGGACATGCTGAGAGATGAGTTCGGATTGGTCTGTCATGTAGCATGCTTCTGTCTATAACAAAGGGCTGTTCAGTATGTGTAGGTAATCCTTTCTAATGCGGCTTTTTTGAAAGATATCACGAATAACTGCAAAAGTGTTGCTCTCCACTTTCTGGAGGACAGAGTTTTGAAATCAGTGGAATGCCCGGTGGAAGAAAAGAGAAGACACAGAAGGCTGTTGTATAAAACACCTGTCTCCAGATTACATCTTCAAACTAAGGGCAACCATGGCATCTGTGACAGAGAGGGAGAAGTGTTCATCCATGTATACGGTTAAGAGAGTCTAGCTAGCTACATTTTCAGATATTATACGTTTCAAATTTTGTCAAAGTCATTTTCATCAAGTTAAAACGTACTGTTAGCTAACTAGCTAACGTTACCTGGCTGGATCACTAGCTAACATTACGTATATGATCTGTGTAGTAATATTATTCGTATCTCAGAGCCATTTGCATTGCTAGTTATAGCATAATGTTAGCTAGCTAACATTTAATCTATTTGGTTAGCTACCTGCAGATTCATTGTTTAGCTAGCTACATGTCTAAACAAAAGACTCCACTATGCAAGGTACCATTTCCTGTGACAAATACATTTAGATTTTATTTGATATAGTGAGTGTTTACCAGAGATGGTAATGTGAAGAACAACACAGCCTGCACCAGTCAAATTAGGATATAACGTTAGGCCAACAAGACAGTGTCCGAGTTCTAAAATTCTCTGGTAGAATGCCCTGCTTTTATTTCGTCACGCTCACAACCATGAGCTATTTTCTGTAATTAGCTTGCCATTAACTTGTAAATAATGATCTTGTTGTGAGTTTATTTTCCTGTAATAATGAATGCAAATTAGCTAAAGTTAAGACATTGTCAGCTATATGATGTGGTCCTTATTTGAACTGGCTAGCCAGCTAACTTAACGTTAGCTAGCTAGTTAACAAGCTACAAACGAACTAAAACATTGTTTAGAAAGTTGCTTTTAGTTGCCTGGTTTGCTAAATTGACAAATACTAAATTAATTTTCAAACGGATGGGTTTATTGGTGTTAAAATATAACGGTTATGCAACCCACATTACGCACACCTGGCAACCATCATTACGCACACCTTCTCCCAATCGATTACTTCCCCTTTATTTAGCTCTCAGTTGCCTCAGTCTTCAGGCAGTACTGGTTTGCTTTCATGTTCAGTACGCATCTCCTGTTTTGTTCATTTGCCTTTCATCATTGTTTTTAAACTCTCCTTCTGCACCTGCTTCCTGACTCCCTGCGTATACGTGACAAAGGGCCATTTTCTCAAAGGTTTATTAACTTTCAAAGCAGAATTACTTTCCCATTGTTCCTCAACTGTAGTGTATGATATACCATTTTTTAACTCTGAGTCTCTACTTTTATCCAATGTAAAAAGAAAAACACAATTTCAAATTTTGCTACATAAGATCGAGCCGGTCGGTCACAAATGGAAGTCTTGATTAAATGCATATCCTCAAAATGTAGACTAGCCTCCCCCAATCAGTCAGTGTGGTCTGACTGGATTCACAAACCATATGACACACACCTTGACTGCTTTTCCTCTGAGACAAAATGACTAACATTTACAGATGAATGTATGTTTGTCCAATGTATGGATGCTGGATTGGCAGTCCCATGCGTGTTTGTAAATGTTTTCTACTCTTGTCACTTTAATCCAGTGAAATAAAACACATCAATACTGCTAGGCAAGGCTAGAATTACACACTGATCTTGTTTAGGATGATAGGGGGTTGTTTAAACATTCATTGTTTTATAGGAGGTGCCCATGTCATTATTTCCAAAGCTTGGGGGGAGCACTGATTTGTTATGGTTCACTGTTTCCCAAAGCACCACTGTAACTCGATTCCATAACCTCCTAAACCTGTGTGTGTGTTCTCTAGTCTAACCCCTTCTTCTCTTACCCCCAATCAGAGCGACCTGTAGGAGACGGGGAACGGATGCTGGACGTGCTTCATCGCTGGGGACAGCACAGGGCAGAGGTGCGCTTCTTCCTGCGTCACGACAGAGCGCCCTGCAGAGAATCAGGTTAGTTCCCAATCACCTGACAGGACAAGATGGATACAGAAGAATAAAAGCACGCCACACATCACATTCGGAAAGTATTCAGACCCCTTGACTTTTTTCCACATTTTGTGACATTACAGCCTTATTCTATATAATCAATCTACACACAAAACCCCATAATGGCAAAGCAAAAACATGTTTATTGAAATTTTAGCAAATTTGATTTAAAATAAAAAAACTCAGTACTTTGTTGAAGCACCTTTGGCAGCGATTTGACAGCCTCAAGTCTTCTTGGGTATGATGCTACAAGCTTGGCACACCTGTATTTGGGGAGTTTCTCCCATTCTTCTCTGCAGATCCTCTCAAGCTCTGTCAGGTTGGATGGGGAGCGTCATGGCACAGCTATTTTCAGGTCTCTCCAGAGATGTTGATCGGGCTCTGGCTGGGCCACTCAAGGACATTCAGAGACTTGTCCCGAAGCCACTCCTGCGTTGTCTTGGCTGTGTGTTTAGGGTCATTGTCCTGTTGGAAGGTGAACATTCACCCTAGTCTGAGGTCCTGAGTGCTCTGGAGCAGGTTTTCACCAAGGATCTCTCTGTACTTTGCTCCGTTCATCTTTCCCTCAATCCTGACTAGTCACTTAGTCCCTGCCGCTGAAAAACATCCCCACAGCATGATGCTGCCACCACGCTTCACCGTAGGGATGGTGCCATGTTTCCTCCAGACGTGACGCTTGGCATTCAGGACAAAGAGTTCAATCTTGGTTTCATCAGACCAGAGAATCTTGTTTCGCATGGTCTGAGAGTCTTTAGGTGCCTTTTGGCAAACTCCAGGCGGGCTGTCATGTGCCTCTTACTGAGGAGTGGCTTCCGTCTGGCCACTCTACCATAAAGGGCTGATTGGTGGAGTGCTGCAGAGATGGTTGTCCTTCTGGAAGGTTCTCCCATCTCCACAGAGGAACTCTAGAGCTCTTTCAAAGTGACCATCGGGTTCTTGGTCACCTCCCTGACCAAGGTTCCAAACCTTCAATGCTGCAGACATTTTTTGGTACCCTTCCCCAGATCTGTGCCTCGACACAATCCTGTCTCTGAGCTCTACGAACAATTCCTTCGACCTCATGGCTTGATTTTTGCTCTGACATGGACTGTCAACTGTGGGACCTTTATATAGACAGGTGTGTGCCTTTCCAAATCATGTCCAATCAATTGAATATACCACAGGTGGACTCCAATCCAGTTGTAGAAACATCTCAAGGATGATAATGGAAACAGGATGCAGCTGAGCTCAATTATCAAGTCTCATAGCAAAGGGTCTGAATACTTATGTAAATAAGGTATTTATGTTTTTGATTTGTTATACATTTGCAAAAATGTCTAAACCTGTTTTCACTTTGTCATTATGGGGTACTGTGTAGAACTTGTTGAAAGAAAAAAATATTGAATCCATTTTAGAATAAGGCTGTAACGTAACAAAATGTGGAAAAAGTCAAGAGGTCTGAATACTTTCCGAATGCACTGTATATACACATGTTCATAAACACACCAGACAGTGTAAAGACACAGCCCTGTAATCAATTACGTAACAAGTTGTTAGAAAGTAAGTAGAAACTCGGCCCTCCCTCCCCACAGGACATGGATTGTGCAACAGAAGCCTAAGACCCCCTTGATCCGCATATGCCTACAGATTTCTATTACAAGTCTTCAAATCCCAGACAAGCCTTTAGCCTAATGCTCCAGGGCTGTCACTGTGAAGGGGTGTTCAAATCACATCTCCATAAGTTAGTTAGTCCTCGGCCGGCGGGGATCCTCTCAGCCCCTCGTTGCGTAACTACTAAGCCCTTTACCCCTCACAGCTTGGGTCTGGCTCTGGGATTAGATGGCTGTTTTCCTTTCTGGCCATCTTAGCCTGCTCTTTTTTCCCCCCACACTGTTAGCTTGTTTGTACTTAGACCATGTCTTCGTAGTTGGCTCCCATTGCGTTATTTCGCATAGAGTTAGTTAGCCTTGTGATGGGCTACAATTGCTTAGCTTAGTATTGTTAGTTAGCCTTGTGATACAATCAGCTATCTAAGCATTGTGTTCTCTCCATTGAGAGAGCGCTTAGCCTTTTTTCTCCCATCTCCTTTCTTCTTTCTCATAAAGCGAGCTTAGCTAGCGACCAAAAGAGATGGCTACAGTTGAAGTCGGAAGTTTACTTACACCTTAGCCAAATACATTTAAACTCAGTTTTTCACAATTCCTGACATTTAATCCTAGTAAAGTTCCCTGTCTTAGGTCAGTTAGGATCACCACTTTATTTTAAGAATGTGAAATGTCAGAATAATAGTAGAGTGATTTTATTTCAGCTTTTATTTCTTTCATCACATTCCCAGTGGGTCAGAAGTTTACATACACTCAATTAGTATCTGGTAGCATTGCCTTTAAATTGTTTAACTTGGGTCAAACGTTTCGGGCAACCTTCCACAAGCTTCCCACAATAAGTTGGGTGAATTTTGGCCCATTCCTCCTGACAGAGCTAGTGTAACTGAGTCAGGTTTTTAGGCCTCCTTGCTCGCAACACACTTTTTCAGTTCTGCCCACACATTTTCTATAGGGTTGAGGTCAGGGCTTTGTGATGGCCACTCCAATACCTTGACTTTGTTGTCCTTAAGCCATTTTGCCACAACTTTGGAAGTATGCTTGGGGTCATTGTCCATTTGGAAGACCCATTTGCGACCAAGCTTTAACTTCCTGACCGATGTCTTGAGATGTTGCTTCAATATATCCACATAATTTTCCTTCCTCATGATGCCATCTATTTTGTGAAGTGCATCAGTCCCTGCTGCAGCAAAGCACCCCCACAGCATGATGCTGCCACCCCCGTGCTTCACGGTTGGGATGGTGTTCTTCGGCTTGCAAGGCACCCCCTTTTTCCTCCAAACATATCAATGGTCATTATGGCTAAACAGTTCTATTTTTGTTTAATCAGACCAAAGGACATTTCTCCAAAAAGTACGATATTTGTCCCCATGTGCAGTTGCAAACCGTAGTCTGTCTTTTTTTATGGCGGTTTTGGAGCAGTGGCTCCTTCCTTGCTGAGCGGCCTTTCAGGTTATGTCGATATAGGACTCGTTTTACTGTGGATATAGATACTTTCGTACCTGTTTCCTCCAGCATCTTCACAAGGTCCTTTGCTGTTGTTCTGGGATTGATTTGCACTTTTCGCACCAAAGTACGTTCATCTCTAGGAGACAGAACGCGTCTCCTTCCTGAGCGGTATGACGGCTGTGTGGTCCCATGGTGTTTATACTTGCGTACTATTGTTTGTACAGATGAACGTGGTACCTTCAGGCGTTTGGAAATTGCTCCCAACGATGAACCAGACTTGTGGAGGTCTAACCATTTTTTTTCCTGAGGTCTTGGCTGATTTCTTTTGATTTTCCCATGATGTCAAGCAAAGAGGCACTGAGTTTGAAGGTAGGCCTTGAAATACATCCACAGGTACACCTCCAATTGACTCAAATGATGTCAATTAGTCTATCAGAAGCTTCTAAAACCATGACATCATTTTCTGGAATTTTCCAAGCTTTTTAAAGGCACAGTCAACTTAGTGTATGTAAACTTCTGACCCACTGGAATTGTGTTACAGTGAATTATAAGTGAAATAATCTGTCTGTAAACAATTGTTGGAAAAATTACTTGTGTCATGCACAAAGTAGATGTCCTAACCGACTTGCCAAAACTATAGTTTGTTAACAAGAAATTTGTGGAGTGGTTGAAAAACAAGTTTTAATGACTCCAACCTAAGTGTATGTAAACTTCCGACTTCAACTTCAACCTATCTTCAACCTATTAAGTGAATTTGCCAGTGTCATATCATTAGCTTGTAGGCTAATTATTTATCCAGAGTTAGCTTAGCATATTATTTTGCCCCTGAGTAGTCTCCAGGCCTAGCCCATGTTTGTGACAGAGGTTCTCCAAAACTATTATTTACGTTACTTGGTAAAGGCTTGATCTAGGGCTGGTGCTGAAGGGATTAGATCAGGTTCACTGGCTCCCAAAAACACCACCAACCACACAAATACACTACGCATGCGTGTGTCAGTGTATGGTATCTGAAAGAGCAAGAGCTGTTTCAGTCACTCATATCAGCTATAGTTCCAATTAACACTTTGCGAGAGTTTCTCATAGTTTCCTAAACAGACTTGGTGGCTTTTTAATGTTTCCAGCCCCAAAAAAAACTTCTGCTGCTTTACTCTTCTCTCCGAGTGTCTTTTGACTGAGGTTTTGGACATGTGTTTCAGGTGGCCCCCGAGGATCAGACTCAAAGAGGAACGGAGTAAAGAGCCCCTCAGATAGACTGATGGAGAACGGGGTGAGTTCAGAAACCATTGACTTTAGACAAACACTTGGAGACCTTTTAAAACAGTTTTTCAGTTACTCACTGTGTGCATTATACAGTTGCTAATTGCTGAGGGTACACGTACATTTCCTGTCCTATGAGTCATTAGACTGAGCTATGTTTGACCATTTCCTTTCCCTGCTGTTGGTATGCTGGTGTTTAGTTTTCAAACTTTTTAAAAACCTGTAACAGCTATAACTTCCAAAGAGAAGGCGAGTGAGAGAAGGAGAGGGAAAAACGAGTTTGGTTAAGTCCTGTGTCACCAATCGCGCAAAAACATTCCCCATATTTGAGCTTGTGCTACTCACCCACATGCAGAGACTGTACTTGTTCTACTTGGCTTCAGGCCTGTCCTGACAGATGCAAAACACACATTTCCTTTGGTTTGGAGTGAGAGAGAGAGGGTGTTTGTACGTAGACTATGTGTGTCTTACTTTGCCAATTCTCTTTGGTGTGTGTGTGTGTGCGTGTGTAGCTGACCCTCTCTCTGTGTTGTGCAGGTGTTGGCCCCACGGATGGACATGACTCTGGCTGAGCTGCAGGAAATGGCTGCCAGACAGCAGCAGCAAATAGACACACAGCAACAACTCCTCGCCTCCAAGGTAACAAGGGAGGGAGGGAGGGAGCGTAGAAAGATGGAGAAGGGGGGTGGAAAGGGGCTTATGAGACATGGATGAAGAAAGAAAGCAAGGGAGAGCTAGTGGGGTGGGATGAAAGAGAGCGGGAGATACTGAGAGCAAGATAATGTGAAAGAGGGTGATGAGAGGGTGGGTGAAGTGATGGAAATAAATGGAGAGGATGAAAAACAGACGGGGGGTGAGAGACAAAGAGAGAGGAAGATTAAAGGCGAGGTAAAAGTGATAGAAAAAAGTGGAGGCAAGGAGCACAGAAGGGGAGTTATCAGGGAGAGAAAAAGGTTTTTTGGAATAGGAAGAGATTGCAAGATAACCCTTTTGATGTAGCATCTGGTTTATGGGATGGCCTTGAGCAGGTGGAGTGATGGAGAAGGTAACAAACAGGAAAATCAAATAGCATTTTATGTCACGTGCACCGAATACAACTGGTGTAGACTTTACAGTGAAATGCTTGCTTATGAGCCCTTCCCAACGATGCAGAGTTAAAAAATAATAATACAAAGAAAACATTTTAATAAAATAGTAACATGAGGAATAAAATAAAATGCACAAGAATGGAGCAGTACCAGATCAATGTGCAGAGGTATGTGGAATTTGAGGTAGATATGTACATGAAGGCAGGGTAAAGTGACTAGGCATTAGGATAGATAACAGTAAGAGTAAAATAAAGAACAGCAGCAGCAAATTATGAATGTAAAAGTATGTGTTTGAGTTGTGTGGGAGTGTCAATGTAGTGTGTGTACACAGTATACAGTGGGGAGAACAAGTATTTGATACACTGCCGATTTTGCAGGTTTTCCTACTTACAAAGCATTTAGAGGTCTGTAATTTTTATCATAGGTACACTTCAACTGTGAGAGACGGAATCTAAAACAAAAATCCAGAAAATCACATTGTATGATTTTTTAATAATTAATTTGCATTTTATTGCATGACATAAGTATTTGATCACCTAACAAACCAGTAAGAATTCCGACTCTCACAGACCTGTTAGTTTTTCTTTAAGAAGCCGTCCTGTTCTCCACTCATTACCTGTATTAACTGCACCTGTTTTAACTCGTTACCTGTATAAAAGACACCTGTCCACACACTCAATCAAACAGACTCCAACCTCTCCACAATGGCCAAGACCAGAGAGCTGTGTAAGGACATCAGGGATAACATTGTAGACCTGCACAAGGCTGGGATGGGCTACAGGACAATAGGCAAGCAGCTTGGTGAGAAGGCAACAACTGTTGGTGCAATTATTAGAAAATGGAAGAAGTTCAAGATGACGGTCAATCACCCTCGGTCTGGGGCTCCATGCAAGATCTCACCTCGTGGGGCATCAATGATCATGAGGAAGGTGAGGGATCAGCCCAGAACTACACGGCAGGACCTGGTCAATGACCTGAAGAGAGCTGGGACCACAGTCTCAAAGAAAACCATTAGTAACACACTACGCCGTCATGGATTAAAATCCTGCAGCGCACGCAAGGTTCCCCTGCTCAAGCCAGTGCATGTCCAGGCCCGTCTGAAGTTTGCCAATGACTATCTGGATGATCCAGAGGAGGAATGGGAGAAGGTCATGTGGTCTGATGAGACAAAAATAGAGCTTTTTGGTCTAAACTCCACTCGCCGTGTTTGGAGGAAGAAGAAGGATGAGTACAACCCCAAGCACACCATCCCAACCGTGAAGCATGGAGGTGGAAACATCATTCTTTGAGGATGCTTTTCTGCAAAGGAAACAGGATGACTGCACCGTATTGAGGGGAGGATGGATGGGGCCATGTATTGCGAGATCTTGGCCAACAACATCCTTCCCTCAGTAAGAGCACTGAAGATGGGTCGTGGCTGGGTCTTCCAGCATGACAACGACCCGAAACACACAGCCAGGGCAACTAAGGAGTGGCTCCGTAAGAATTATCTCAAGGTCCTGGAGTTGCCTAGCCAGTCTCCAGACTTGAACCCAATAGAAAGTCTTTGGAGGGAGCTGAAAGTCCGTATTGCACAGCGATAGCCCCGAAACCTGAAGGATCTGGAGAAGGTCTGTATGGAGGAGTGGGCCAAAATCCCTGTTGCAGTATGTGCAAACCTGAAGAACTAAAGGAAACGTATGATCACTGTAATTGCAAACAAAGGATTCTGTACCAAATATTAAGTTCTGCTTTTCTGATGTATCAAATACTTATGTCATGCAATAAAATGCAAATTAATTATAAAAAAATCATACAATGTGATTTTCTGGATTTTTGTTTTAGATTCCGTCTCTCACAGTTGAAGTGTACCTATGATAAAAATTACAGACCTCTACATGCTTTGTAAGTAGGAAAACCTGCAAAATCGGCAGTGTATCAAATACTTGTTCTCCCCACTGTATACAGCAGTCTAGTGAATGTGCGTAGGGTCAGTGCAGATAGTTCGGGTAACAACTAATTGACTATTTAGCAGTCTTGTGGCTATTTAGCAGTCTTATGGCTTGGGGGTCAGAGAGCTGATGCTCTGTTACCGTTTGCTGGACGGTAGCAGAGTGAACAGTCTATGGCTTGGGTGGCTGGAGTCTTTGGCAATTTTTAGGGCCTTTCTCTGACACCGCCTGATATAGAGGTTCTGGATGGCAGCGAGTTTGGCCCCAGTGATGTACGGCGCTGTCCGTACCACCCTCTGTAGTGCTTTGCAGTCAAGGGCGATGTATTTGCCATACCAAGCGGTGATGCAGCCTGTCAAGATGCTCTCGATGGTGCAGCTGTAGAACCTTTTGAGGATCCGAGGGCCCATGCCAAACCTTTTCAGCCTACTGAGGGGGAAGAGGCACTGCCCGGCCCTCGTCCCGACTGTTCAGGTGTGTGTGGACCATGTTAAGTCTTTAGTGATGTGGACGCAAAGGAACTTGAACCTCTCGACCCGCTACACTACAGCCCCGTCGATGTGGATGGGAGCTTGCCCTCCTCTCTTTCTCCTATAGTCCACGATCAGCTCCTTGGTCTTACTGACGTTGAAGGAGAGGTTGTTGGCCTGGCACCACACTGCTAAATCTCTGACGACCTCCCTATGGACTGTCTCCTCGTTGTAAGTGATCAGGCCTACCACCATCTTGTCATCAGCAAACTTAATGATGGTGTTGGAGTCATGCATGGCCACGCAGTCGTGAGTGAACAGGGAGTACAGGAGGGGACTAAGCACGCACCCTGAGGTGCTGTTGCCTACCCTCACCACCTGGGGGCGGCCCGTCAGGAATTCCAGGATCCAGTTGCAGAGGGAGGTGTTCAGTTCAGGGTTCCTAGCTTGGTGATGAGCTTGTAGGGGACTATGATGTTGAACGCTGAGCTGTAGTCTATGATCAGCATTCTCACATAGTTATTTCTCCTCTTGTCCAGGAGAGAGAGGGCAGTGTGAAGTGCAATTGAGATTGCGTCATCTGTGGATCTGTTGGGGCGGTATGCGAATTTGAGTGGGTCCAGTTTGTCTGGGATGATGGTGTTCATGTGTGTCATTACCAGCCTTTCAAAGGAGAGGAAAATAAGGGAAATAGTTGTACAGATGAATTGTGGCACAGGTAAGAACATTACTGTAGGATGTAGGGCAATAAGCCATTGAGTTTATTCAGTGTGTTGGGTTTTCCCCATCCCATTAACATGTGATTGTGCTCATCAATCACTATAACCATGGTATAAACTAAGGACTTTTTTCAGATGCAGATGAATGAGGGAAATAGGCAGACACATTACAGTTTGGTTGATTGATGGGTTTCTTTCCTTCAAAGGTTTTTGTAGTTGCTGAGGCATCTTGAACCACAGCCTCACTTTCCACCGCTATATTGTTTTGTACCTATATTTATCAAGGCTCAAGTTTCATGGAGATGAATTCTCTTGAGATAGTTTTTTCTGTCTCTCTTTTCTCAGTCAAACTGAGAAGTGTTTTTTTCTGTTCTGCCTTGCATGGCTCAACCCAATCTTTTCCACACTGCGTGCACACCTGTGCTCTCTCTCTGTCTGTGTGCTGATCTGAAATGTTTGTTAGGGTAACCCAGAGGATAGCACAACAAGCTTAGGAATGTAGCCCTGAGCTTTATTTTGCCCCTAGACGTCATCACGCAACAATCATCAAAGCGCGTAACAGAACAGTGTACTGTCTACACTCGGTTTGTTGTTTTTATGACATAGTTTCAATTAAATAGTTTTTAATCATAGCTAAAGTTTGTATCTTCGGATTCCGCGAGGCGGTCAGCGTTAACGTCTGAGACCGCAAGTTTGTGTCCCGGATTCCTGTTAAGTAGCAGTTAGCTGATAGCCATCATGAAAATGGAGCAGGCTAACGCTAGCAGTGCTAGCCCACCGGTGTTTTTATCCACGGCTGGGCACAAATGCGTCAGGTGTGAGATGTTTTCCTCACAATCACAAGATGAAGATAAGGTGGAACTGGAAAATGGACAGGGATTTGTCTGCCCTAAATGCACCACAATCAAGCAGCTTAGGTAAGAGATCCTCCGGCTGTTAGCTCGGCTGCGAGAAAAGGATAACCTGCTTTCTAAGTTCACCGACCTTGCTATAACCCAGGCAAACCGAATCTCAGTTTTAAATGCCTCCTATAGCACAGCTGTCGATGAGTCGGGCTGCGTTTATCTGTCCCAATCCAACGGACAGATGTTAAGCTCAACTCCGCGGCCCATGAGAGACTGGACACTCGCAAGGCGTAGGAGATCGGGGAGGCAGTCTGGCCACCCTTCATCTATTAGAGAAGATCCGATCCAGCTATCAAACAGCTTTGCCCCGCTTGAGACGGACCTACCAATCCCGGGAGTGAGCACGGATCCCGGGTGTATACCAACAGCCGGCGGCCGCCCAGTTGCACCGTCCCCCATGGCCACCGCAGTTCAGCAGGTTGCTTCCCCAATCGGATTCAATCACGACCACCATCATTGTGGGCAGCTCAATGGTGAGAGATTTTGGCCTGCCCACGGTCTGTGGACCGACCAGGGTCCACTGTCACCCAGGAGCCCATGTCCATGACATCAACTCTCTGCCCACGGTTCTGGCCAACTACTCCAATATTGACACCATCGTCACTCACGTAGGTTTTAACGACCTTCGTTTTAGGCGAACTGAGGGAGGACTACAAAAAAATTAAACATCCTCGCTAGCACAGGGAAGAGAATAATTATCTCTGTCCCCCTTCCCGTGCTACCGAAGGGGTTCCGAACATTTCATCCGACTCTTTGCCCTGAACGAGTACCTGAAGAAACTTTGCAACTACAGGATTGTCTCTTTTTGTGACAACTTTGACTGGATTCACCCTAACCGCAGGGGTTCTAGGATTATTTCCAGCAACATCGCAAACTGTTTTAGATACTGACGGACAGGGTCTGGTAGTTCTCCAGTTCTCCCTGTCAGAATAAGCAACAGAGGACTTGGAAAGCGTATCAACTCCTGTAGAAATGGCACTATGATTATTGTGAGAAACCTAATTTATGTTCCTTTAACTCTGCCTTCTAATGAGTTTATACAAACTGTAATCTCCTACCATTCTGATATATTGGAGACCTGTCAGAAAATGTGGTTGTAACGTTAATAAATTGGTTGTTATTCTATTGGTACCTCGAGGCAGATGCCCCAGGGGCAGAGTGGCCCACACTCATTGAATATGACCTTTCTCGTGAATGACCTCGTTACAGAGCGCAAAGTTGATTGCATGTGTCTCACTGAAACATGGCTGTCATCAGACTGTAGTGCCCCTCTTATTGAATCCTCCCAAGCTGATACAGAGAGACTCATCCATGCTTTTATTACAATTAGGCTTGACTACTGTAATGCTCTCCTGTCTGGTCTACCCAAGAAAGCCATTGGTCAACTGCAAAACATACAGAATGCTGCAGCACGGGTACTGACCAAGACCAGACGGAGAGCACACATTACACCAGTTTTAAGATCTCTGCACTGGCTGCCTGTGAGTTTTAGAATTCAATTTAAGATTATTCTATAGATTTTCTTAAATCAACCTACGATTATGCACCCCAATACATGTCAGACATGCTTTTAAGTTATGTACCCAGTAGGTCCCTCAGGTCCTCTGGCACTGGCCTTTTAACCATCCCAAAGCCTAGGACCAAGAGGGGGACTGAAACTGTGGACATATTTAAAAGAGATCTTAAAATACATATGTTTAGCGTTGCTTTTCCTTAGGGTGCTCAGTTTGTGTCATTGTTTTTTTTTTTTTATCTTATGTATGTTGTGTAGTAAATATTTCAGCTTTTATTTAAAGCACATTGCGTTGTATTCCATGTCTGAAATGTGCTGTATAAATAAAGCTTAATTTGATTTGATCACCCAGGAGAGCAGCCAAGTAAACATGCCTTACTATCACTACAGATCATCTGTAATGGAGCTGGAAAATACACTATTGTTTTAAAGTATAACCTTTCTCAGGAGATTCATGTCACGTTTTATGGCGCAATGAGTAGTTCATTGTTAAACTTTCTGACTGTAGTGATATTCCGTTTGTCAAATGTTCAATTATAACTAATGACAGGTACTGTATGTTTGGCAGGATAGCATGCCATAAAAGCAGCATTCAATATAATTGAAAACAGGTCATAGATACACCAAAATGTACATCACTACATTAGCTGTATCAAAAGGAAAGCAGAATGGGCATTTAAAATGATATAGTAGGCTGTCTATGAAATGATGAAAAAAAATAAGAAAAATACTTTGTTCAGGGAAGGTGTAGGAGCAGCCGCTATGGTTTATAAAACAGCAGGCCTCCATAACATCCTCTATTTTTTCTCCCCTCCCCCTCCACAGGAGCAGTGTCTGCACAATCTGAAGCAGCAGAGGCAGCAACAGCACTGTAATAACTCAATCTCTCCTCTTTTCATTCCTGCTCTCTTCTCTCCTCCTCTCTACTCCCCCTCTCTTTAGGAGCAGCGTCTGCGCTACCTGAAGCAGCAGGAGCAGAGACAGCAGCAGCAAGCATCAGAGCAGGAGAAGCTGCAGCGTCTAAGGGAGAACGTGGAGAACCAGGAGACCAGGCTGAAGAAGGTCCGGGCCCTCAAGGGCCAGGTGGAGCAAAAACGCCTCAGCAACGGCAAGCTGGGTGAGCACAGTGTTGCTATGAATGGGCAAGGGATTGGTTGTTTGTTGGATTGATTGAGTGGTGAATTGATTGGTGGATTTTTATAGGATGACTGACTGATCGATTGGTTATAACCTGTGTGTATGTGTCTCTTCCACCCCCCCCCCTTGCCCTGTAGTGGAGGAGATAGAGCAGATGAACAGTATGTTCCAACAGAAGCAGAAGGAGCTGGTGGTGGCTGTGTCCAAGGTGGAGGATCTCAGCAGACAGCTGGAAATGCTCAAGAATGGCAAGATGGACTCCTTCCACGACAACCAGAGCTCTGTGGCTGAACTGGACCGCCTCTACAAGGAGCTACAGGTGTGTGTGCTTGGAGTTTGCAGATGTGGGACAATAGAACATTCCATTTTACCTGAACTAAATCCCAGAAGCTCAGTTGTTAGAAAGTGTTTTCCATATGCATGCTATTTAACCCAGGTCTGATTCCAAATCACATTCATTTTGCATGTGGCTCGTGTGGGACTCAAACCCTTAACTCTCTCTAACACCATGCCCTATCAACTGAGCCAGCAGAACCACTGGTTCATAGCCTCATACAGTGCCTTCAGAAAGTATTCACACCCCTTGACTTTTTCCACATTTTGTTCTGTTACAGCCTGAATTAAAAATGTATTCAATAGCTATTTAATTTTGTCACTGGCCTACACACAGTACCCCATAATGTCAAAATGGAATAATGTTTTTCGAAATTTTTACAAATGAATAAAGAAATGAGAAGCTGAATGTCTTGAGTCAATAAGGATTCAACCCCTTTGTTATGGCAAGCCTAAATAAGTTCAGGAGTAATAATTTGCTTAACAAATCACATAAGTTGCATGGACTCACTCTTTGTGCAATAATAGTGTTTAACATGATTTTTGAATGACTACCTCATCTTTGTACCCCACACGTACAATTATCTGTAAGGTCCCTCAGCCAAGCAGTGAATTTCAAACACCGATTCAACCACAGACCAGGGAGGTTTTTCAATGCCTTGCAAAGAAGGGCACCTATTGGTAGATGTGTAAAAAAATATAAAGCAGACATTGAATATCCATTTGAGCATGGTGAAGTTATTAATTACACTTTGGATTGTGTATCAATACACTCAGTCACTACAAAGATACAGGCGTCGTTCCTAACTCCGTTACCGGAGAGGAAGGAAACCGCTCAGGGATTTCACCCTGAGGCCATACGTGACTTTAAAACAGTTAGAGTTTAATGGCTGTGATGGGAGAAAAACTGAGGATGGGATCAACAACATTGTTACTCCACAATACTTACCTAAATGACAGTGAAAAGATGGAAGTCTGTACAGAATAAAATATTCCAAAACATGCATTCTGTTTTTAATAAGGCACTAAAGTAAAACTGCAAAAAATGTGGCCAAGAAATTAACTTTATGTCCTGAATACAAAGCGTTATGTTTGGGGCAAATCCAACACAACACATCACTGAGTACCACTCTTCATATTTTCAAGCATGGTGGTGGTTGCATCATGTTATGGGTATGCTTGTCATCGGGAAGGGAGTGTTTTTAGTATAAAAATAAATTGAATAGCGCTAAACACAGGCAAAATCCTGGAAAAAAAACCTAGTTCAGTCTACTTTACAAAGACAGTGGGAGACAAATTCACCTTTCAGCAGGACAATAACCTAAATCACAAGCCCAAATATACACTGGAGTTGCTTACCAAGACGACAATGAATGTTCATAAGTGGCCTAGTTACAGTTTTGACTTAAAACGGCTTGAAAATCTATGGCAAGACTTGAAATTGGCTGTCTAGCAATGATCAACAACCAACTTGACAGAGCTTGAAGAATTGTTTTAAAGAATAATGTGCAAATATTGTACAATCAAGGTGTGCAAAGCTCTTAGACTTACCCAGAAAGACTCACCGCTGTAATCGCTGCCAAAGGTGATTCTAACATGTATTAACTCAGGGGTGTGAATACTTATGTAAATTATATATTTCTGTATTTGATTTTCAGTAAATTTGCTAACATTTCTAAAAACATGTTTTCACTTTGTCATTATTGGGTATTGTGTGTAGATGGGTGAGAAACAAAATCAATTTAATCAATTTTAAATTCAGACTAACACAACAAAATGTGGAATAAGTGAAGGGGTATGAATACTTTCTGATGGCGCACTGCATGTCCTCTACCCTGTCCTCCATCCGAGTTCAGCTCTCTGACATGTCATCTCTTGTCCCCTCTAGCTGCGTAATAAGCTGAACCAGGAGCAGAATGCCAAGCTGCAGCATCAGAGAGACAGTCTGAACAAGCGCAACCTGGAGGTGGCCTCTATGGACAAACGGGTCAGTGAGCTCCGAGACCGCCTTTGGAAGAAGAAGGCCGCTCTGCAGCAGAAAGAGAACCTGCCTGTGAGTACACACACGTAGTGTACATACACTACACACATACTGTACAGAAGCGCAAGCACAAGCACAAACACATACGCACTCGCACAAACACATAGGCACTCGCACACACACATAAATGCAGAACACCTACTTTGACATCTCAAGACTTGGTGAAAGAAATGGAACTGTTTACATAGTGAAGCACACCCCATCAAAAGTGATAACCTGAGCACCCCCTAGGGGCTGGAGAGTATAAACACACTGTATTTTGTTTACCTCTGAAAGCCCAAGATGCCCTGGCCCTCAGAGCTGGCCTCTATCAAAAAAGTAAGACTCCTCAAACGTGTCTCTCGCTGCCTTTCTGCACTGACAAACAAATCACTGACTCACAGGACTGAAATACCCTCATAGCTCTCCTTTCACATTTCACTTGTTCAATCTCAATCTATTCAGCATTCTTCAACCCTGGTCCCTGGGACCCACAGCGTGGGGAGATGTTTCTCCCAGCCCAGTACTAACACCTGATTCAGGTATTTTAGTGCTTGGCTGGAGCAAAAGCCTGCACCCCCGGTGGCTCCCAAAGATCAGGATTGAAGGACACTGGTGGAATGAATCATTGTTTTGATCATGTCACAGGATTGATTTGCTATCTCAGTTTACACTCAACACTCCCTCTCTTCAGCCCAGCTTGGCAAAAACAACTCCAGGAGAGGGGAGGAGACTAGAGCTCAGGCAGGCAAACAGACAGACAGGAATGCCAGAGGAGATGGTATCACTGCCTGGTATCTCTCTGCCCCTCTTCCTCTGAATTGTTTTTGACTCCTGTGGTTTCCATGGAACTTTAATCTATGTAAACATGGAACTTTTTAATCTGTCTTTGAAAGATTTTGTGAGGAAATTGTCAGGACACATGAGATTTGCTGTAGCCATTAGTGTACTAGAACAACGTGTAAGGGCATGGAGTGTTTGTCAAATGGAAACTCAGAGTGGTTGTGGATTTGCTCTGGCACTCAATTTCTTAAACTATGTTAGTAAATCACAGGCATGATTTTATTATGATTTGACATGTTACATGTGGTGGGCATTTTACAGAATCTATCCTCGATCAGTGGTATTTTAATAGAAACAAAACCACTGTCAAATGAATAGACAACACCCTTTACTTTCCTTGATAACTCTATCATGTTGTATTTCAATCAAACTAACTTAATGTGGGGAGTCTAGATTTACAGTGCCTTCAGAAAGTATTCATACCCCTTGACTTTTATATTCCACATTTTGTTGTTAGAACCAGAATTCGAAATGAATTTAAAAATAAAAATATCGAACCCATCTACACACAATACCCAATAATGACAAAGTGAAAAAAAAAAAAAAAAAAAAAAGGGAAATGTTTGCACATTTCTTGAAAATGACCCGAGTCAATACTTTGTAGAAGCACCTTTCGCAGCGATTACAGCTGTTACTTTTTCTGGGTAAGTCTCTAGGAGCTTTCCACACCTGGAGTATACAACATTAGCCCATTAATTCTTTAGAAAATTCTTCAAGCTCTGTGAAATTGGTTTTTGATCATTGCTAAACAACCATTTTCAGGTCTTGCCATAGATCTTCTTGTAGATTTAAGTCAAAACTGTCACTCGGCCACTCATGAACATTCACTGTCGTCTTGGTAAACAACTCCAGTGTAGATTTTTAGCCTTGTGTTTTAGGTTATTGTCCTGCTGAATGGTGAATTAATCTCCCAGTGTCTGATGGAAAGCCGACTGAACCAGGTTTTCCTCTAGGATTTTGCCTGTGCTTAGCTCCATTCCGTTTATTTTTTTATCATGAAACATTCCCCAGTCCTTAACAATTACAAGCATACCCATAACATGATGCAGCCACCACTATGCTTGAAAATATGGAGAGTGGAACTCAGTAATGTGTTGTATTGGATTTGCCCCAAACATAACACTTTGTAACTACAATGTTGTTTATCCATCCTCAGTTTTCTCCAATCACAGCCAATAAACTGGTGAAATCCCTGAGCGGTTTCCTTCCTCTCCGGCTAGCGGGAAGGTTCCTGTCTTTTTCCGTGGCTAAACCAACTAGGCTCGTAATTTAACAATTGTATTCGTATATATGGATGGAATACAAGTTTGTTATTAAGGCACATGAAAATGCACATGTTCCAGAAGGCATTTCTGCCCAAAAACGCATTTTGATAAAGAATTAATGTTTACGATCAAATGCCGCTCGTGTAAAGTAGTGACGTGCGACATATGCCTAGTTTCCTGAAACGAGTCACAAATAGTCTGCTTTGTAAGCTGCTCTCGATGAAAGTGTATACTAAGCAAAACACATTCTATACCATTAGATCCCCCTCTAATATGCAGTGCTAAAACTCACAGAATTAGTAATTCAACCACATACTGTAGTGGAATTAATCCTTCCCTTAATAGGCATACTTAATAATTTTATATAAATGAAAACCACAAGTAGAAAATAATTTAATACAATATTAAAAAAAGTCCATCTTTTTAAGTCCTCTCTCCTTTGTTGAAGGGAAGAGCTGAGGTAAAGAAAGGAAAGCTCTGAAGAGGTAAAGGTGTAATATGTATGTACTGTAGTTATTACAGATAAAAGCAGAGAAGCTGAAGGCTGAATAGAGCAGGACTCTTTGAGGAGGTGATTTAGTGACAGTCTGCCTTGAATCATAATGAGCAGAGCTTTTTGAGGCAGCCACAAAGAGCCATTACGTTTACCCTTCTCTCTGGCCAACTACACAGCAAGGGTCTGTCTGACATCACCTGGTAGGCATGTTTCAACCACATTGGTCTCAAGACGCTAGCCTGAAAGATGCCAGCCTAGAATCACCTCGCTACTTCTGAACATATGGGAGGAACTGATCAATAGTGACTTATGTACTTGTATGGGCTTTGACTACTAGTGTGTTCAACTGCTATTGCCTTTTGTGTTTTTGTTTTCTCAAGAATGGCTACCCTGGTAAGGAGAGGGCTTCAAAAGACACTCATCCCCAGGTACAGTAATTAATGGCAGAGGTGGACCTGACATACAGACATAGACACACACTGATCTCTTCAGCATGACTTGGCAGAGCAGCAGCAGCCGTAGGATTTACTACATTTCTGTTTCCAGTAGCGATGTGCAGTTGATTGATCTTGTTTTAAAGGGCATGGCTTGACGTATTTAATCTGCTCGGTTGTGTAAGACCTTGTTTCACACAACTGCTAAAGTTTGTTTTCTGAAACAAAAACTTTTGGAGAAGGGCTTTGGCCATGTTAGAAAGTAAAGAGAGCTGATAGTTTGGTCTGGCTTTTTTTCTAAATGTTTCAGAGTTAAACTTGATCAAGCTTTATGTGGGGTAGTTGGAGTATTTTTCAACATTGTTTAGCTCCCCTAAATTAGCTTATCATATTTTAATTCAGAACTTCAACCACTCCGTATTTAGGAATAGTGGCAAATAGACTAACAGCGTAATGTACTACTAAGCTGAGGGAGATGCTTAAGAAATGTATTATCTGTTTTTGTGATGTACTTTTCACTCTTTACATACTGTGTTTGTCTCTCAGTGAGTGACCCTGTTGTTCCTCCCCACTGATGACAAGGTGGATCTGTGTGTTTGTCTTGCTCTGAACTGTCAGTGTTACTCTCTCCCTCCCTCCATCTCTCTTTCTCCCTCTAGCTGCCCTCTGATGGTCTGGCGGGTCAGCAGCAGCAGCAGGGTCCTTCTCGTGTGGCGGCTGTCGGCCCGTACATCCAGTCGTCCACCATGCCTCGCGGCCCAGTGAGACACGAGCTGCTGGTCAAACCTGCTGTATACCCCGACGGCACCGCCAACCTCCCCGCACACCCAGACCCACAGGGCAAGGCCAACACAGGTGAGACAGTGACCTCAACCTTACACATGTTCCCTTCACCTTTCCCTTCTCACGTTTTCCTTCTTGGCCCTTGCAAAGTGTGCCTGTCAATTCTTCTGCTGAAGTCTCCACTCCACCTCTTTCCCTCACATGCCCCTTTTAACTATGGTTGGTACTCTATATCTCTACCTCAGCTGAGTGATAAATAAAATCACGATGACGAGCTTGTAAGAGGTTTGACATGTGATTGAGTTACCCCACCCTCAACAGGAGCCGAGGATTCTGAGATACCCCTGTTGATAGACGGGCTCTGGTTGTGATGTGACTCTAAGCTCAGAAGGTAGCCTATGGCCTTGGTGCTCTGGTGTGGCTATTTCCTCTACCGATGCCCCTAACCATAGATCTAGGATCCGATTACCCTACTCCTAATTTGAACATGAACCATTAGGGGGATTTAAAAGATACTGGACCTTGAATCAGTGGTTATGTTGCCGTGTTGTTGTTCCCGTCTGAGATCACAGCCTACCTTCTTATTCATAACTCTTCCACCACTAAATGGCGACTTATTGTATGTCTGCCAGGGTGGAATACCAGCCCTCATGTTGCTGTGTGATTGTGCATTCAGAGGTTGAACCAGGGAAAGCTCAGTAGTATTCTCCTCAGATTGGTCAAATGGCTACTATCAATTTACCTCATCTACAGGTAACTGCCAAAATAAAGGAAACACTAACTTAGTGTCTTAATAGGGTTTTGGGCCAGAACAGCTTCAATGCACCTTGGTATGGATTCTACAAGTGTCTGGAACTCTGTTGGAGGATCATGCGACGCCATTCTTCCACGAGAAATTCCATAATTTAGTGTTTTGTTGATGGTGGTGGAAAACGCTGTCTCAGGCGCAGCTCCAGAATCTCCCATAAGTGTTCAATTGGGCTGAAATCTGGTGACTGAGACGGCCATGCCATATGGCCTACATTGTTTTCATGTTCATCAAACCATTCAGTGACCATTCCTGCCCTGTGGATGGGGGCATAGCCCAAATAATGGCCTGCCCAGCATGACCCTAGGCATGATAGGATGTTAATAGCTTAATTATCACAGGAACCACACCTGTGTGGAAGCACCTGCTTTCAATATACTTTTTATCCCTCATTTACTTAAGTGTTTCCATTATTTTTCATCATCATCTCTCTTTCTGCCAGATCTCTGTTGTATGTTTTGCTGTGAGACGATACTGCCTGTTTGTTGAATTAAACCGTGCCTGTTCATATTCTCCTTCCACTCTGGATTCGGCAGCATTCTAAATGGGTCAGTTGGAACAATCACATTACCGCCAGCAGAACTGACAGTCTGACAATCATGTGGTTTCGGACTGGCCCGATCAGGTCTAAATCAGTTATTGAGGAAATGCGAAAGATGGAAAGAACTAGCTAGTTCTACCACATTTTGCTCTCCTGTACTGTCTTAATTTTGTTGAGAAAACAGAAGACCCTACCACAGGGGTTTTCCTGTATTGCTATATAGCCCAGTTTTGTCCAGACCCTTTCTAAACATATTTGACCTTCTATTGGTTTCAATTGAAAGTATTGTTAGAAAACACCCCTTAAACCACAACTCCCTGACCACCACCACCCTCACCCCCCTCTCTCAGGTAAACTGGCAGAGTGGGGCCCTTTGGGACCAGAGTCCAACAGCAGTAGTCATAGGTCATCCTCCACACTGCCCAGAATGACCTCTCACTCCAGCCCCAACACAGAGCAAGGTAACCACCCCCACAGCACAACCACACATAAATATGACTGTAAGACTCGACCACACAATGACCAGATATGTAGTGGCCAAATCATATCCGCGAACCCACACAAACATGAGCACAAGACTCAAACTTCCACTTTACTATCCTTGAATATGCACTTAAGTAGTTACACAGTCCAGATAGGGTTTTGTGATTGTTTTCCCTGTATGTGTGTCTAGTTATGTTTACACCTGTGTTGTTGTTGTGTGTGTGTAGATGAGACTGAGGGGATGAATAAGGACAGGAGGGTGCGTCCGTTCTCCATGTTTGAGGCCACTGAGGTGCCCGCCGCCTCCCTCCGCAAGAACCAGAGCAGTGACGACCTGGTCAGAGACTCCCAGGTAAAAACTGTGAAACTGAACAAAAATGGCTGCTTAGCTGTTTTTACTGCAGACCCAAAATGGATGGTGCCCAGAAAGTCAGAAAACTGAACATTTCATTAAACTGAGTCCAATACCTGCCAACTTTCCTACCAACAGCTTAGAGCAGTTTCTCCAATGCACACACACAGACACATGTACCTACAAATACATGTACATAGTACACCTTTAACAGGACATTTGTTTTTCCATGCAGAGGTTTGAGTGTAAGCCTGCGAGTAATGGGGTTAAATGAGAAGAAGAACAGTGCTTCAGAACCATGCTGTTACAGATCTAGATAATAATGCATCCTGCCTTAACAAGGCACTTGACCTTCTGTTCATACTGCTCATTATTACTGCTCAATCTAATCAACCTTGAACTGAGTGGATGTATTTGCAAAGCAGCTAGATTGAGCATGACTTATTGTGTGCACTCACTGTAAGTAGTGCAGGATAATTATCGGCTGAATGGCTGTATTGTGATGGGTCAACTGTAATGTAAATATCATGGACATGAACTCTTGACATCAGGAGTTGTCCTTGATCAGTTGTGTGTGTGTGTGCGTGCCATTCCTCTGTGGTCTAACCAGCTTCTCTCTGTCTCCTCCTTTCCCAAGTCTGTTGCTAAACCCCCAGTTAAGGTGCCCCCACCCGTTGCCAGCAAACCCAAAGCCCCCAGTGGTGCCCCCTATGGCAAGCAAGGCCTCAACACAGGCACCTTCCCCAAGGCCAAGCCTCCCAGCCAGCATCAGCAATCCCAGGGGGGCCCACAGGCCCATGTCTCCCTGCCCTCCTCCCAGAGCCAGACCCTGCCCCTGCCCTCAAAGCAGGACCCCCCTCCGGCGGCCACTGTCAGACCCTTCACCCCAGAGCTGCCTAAAGACCTGACCAAGCCCCAGACCCTGGCAGCCAGCTCCATCTACTCCATGTACACCCAGCAGCCCACCCCAGGCAAGCCCTTCCCACCAGCCATACAGGGGGCTCTCAACAGGAGCCAGAGCCGCGGCAACGGATTTGTCAGTGGTAAGACTACCTTCTGGTTCCTCTTCAGTTCCTGTTGACTTTATCAGGGCTACTGTCTGTCTGGAGTCTTAAGACAAATAGCCAAATTATTTTGACAATCAAGAAAGATGTGTGAACCATGGCTCCAAAGCATTTCACTGAACACCAGAGTACTAGAAACAGTCTCATTTCTGTTATTTTCTCTGTTTTACACTTACTGCAAGAGTAACTCCTAACAGAGATTTTAAAGCAGGCTGACGTCAGTCCTATGTTAAGTACCTAGGAGAGTACAGTAATTTAATTTAGGCAGTGGAGAGGAGAGGGTCCTGACTCAGAACAAGCTGTAGTTAGTTAATCTAATTAAAGGTAATAAGCAATGAGGCATGGCAATCGTTAAATAAAACATCAAAGCAATCCTCATCATCACCCTGTTACTATTACTGGTTTGCATATGCAGATACAGTGGGGAGAACAAGTATTTGATACACTGCCGATTTTGCAGGTTTTCCTACTTACAAAGCATGTAGAGGTCTGTAATTTTTATCATAGGTACACTTCAACTGTGAGAGATGGAATCTAAAACAAAAATCCAGAAAATCACATTGTATGATTTTTAAGTAATTCATTTGCATTTTATTGCATGACATAAGTATTTGATCACCTACCAACCAGTAAGAATTCCGGCTCTCACAGACCTGTTCGTTTTTCTTTAAGAAGCCCTCCTGTTCTCCACTCTTTACCTGTATTAACTGCACCTGTTTGAACTCGTTACCTGTATAAAAGACACCTGTCCACACACTCAATCAAACAGACTCCAACCTCTCCACAATGGCCAAGACCAGAGAGCTGTGTAAGGACATCTTGGATAAAATTGTAGACCTGCACAAGGCTGGGATGGGCTACAGGACAGTAGGCAAGCAGCTTGGTGAGAAGGCAACAACTGTTGGCGCAATTATTACAACATGGAAGAAGTTCAAGATGACGGTCAATCACTCTCGGTCTGGGGCTCCATGCAAGATCTCACCTCGTGGGGCATCAATGATCATGAGGAAGGTGAGGGATCAGCCCAGAACTACATGGCAGGACCTGGTCAATGACCTGAAGAGAGCTGGGACCACAGTCTCAAAGAAAACCATTAGTAACACACTACGCCGTCATGGATTAAAATCCTGCAGCGCACGCAAGGTCCCCCTGCTCAAGCCAGCGCATGTCCAGGCCTGTCTGAAGTTTGCCAATGACCATCTGGATGATCCAGAGGAGGAATGGGAGAACGTCATATGGTCTGATGAGACAAAAATAGAGCTTTTTGGTCTAAACTCCACTCGCCGTGTTTGGAGGAAGAAGAAGGATGAGTACAACCCCAAGAGCACCATCCCAACCGTGAAGCATGGAGGTGGAAACAACATTCTTTGGGGATGCTTTTCGACTGCACCGTATTGAGGGGAGGATGGATGGGGCCATGTATCGCAAGATCTTGGCCAACAACCTCATTCCCTCAGTAAGAGCATTGAAGATGGGTCGTGGCTGAGTCTTCCAGCATGACAACGACCCGACACACACAGCCAGGGCAACTAAGGAGTGGCTCCGTAAGAAGCATCTCAAGGTCCTGGAATGGCCTAGCCAGTCTCCAGACCTGAACCCAATAGAAAATATTTGGAGGGAGCTGAAAGTCCGTATTGCCCAGCGACAGCCCCGAAACCTGAAGGATCTGGATGGAGGAGTGGGCCAAAATCCCTGCTGCAGTGTGTGCAAACCTGGTCAAGACCTACAGGAAACGTATGATCTCTGTAATTGCAAACAAAGGATTCGGTACCAAATATTAAGTTCTGCTTTTCTGATGTATCAAATACTTATGTCATGCAATAAAATGCAAATGAATTACATAAAAATCATACAATGTGATTTTCTGGATTTTTGTTTTAGATTCCGTCTCTCACAGTTGAAGTGTACCTATGATAAAAATTACAGACCTCTACATGTTTTTTAAGTAGGAAAACCTACAAAATCGGCAGTGTATCAAATACTTGTTCTCCCCACTGTATGTCTGACTAGGTTTGTAATGTGTTAGTCTCAGCCCTGTGGGATTTCTCCTCTTGAGTGAAACAGAGGACATGAACTCTCAGGGATCTGCTCTGCTCTGGCCAGGAAAAACGTGTTGCCCTAGTTATGATAAGACAAACTACTTATAGGATATGACAATCATCTGTAAAAGTGAGGGCTTTAGTGTACTTGCATGATTTATTAAGAGTCCATTAGGCTGTCTCCCTCGGGGCAAATCCAGCAACCTGACCTGGCTGACGCATGTTGACACGCCACATCTCATCCATCGGTGATCACTCGAGTCGAGTATGATTGTCCTCCATGGGGTCTTCTATTTGTGGGTCTTCAGATGGCTGTAGAGGCCGATCCGTGAGGGGTGGTTGCGGTAGGGCCTCCCTGGTGTTGTCTCTCCTTGCGTAGCTGTTTCTTGTCCTCTATGGCACGGTGGAGATATTTTTCGTGTAGTGCAGCTCCCTAAGAGTTAATAATATGCCATTTAGCAGACGCTTTTATCCAAAGCGACTTACAGTCATGCGTGCATACATTTTTGTGTATGGGTGGTCCCGGGGATCGAACCCACTACATTGGCGTTACAAGCGCCATGCTCTACCAGCTGAGCTAGTATTATAGTAGTATTATAGTATTGATCAATTGACTATGACTTTTTAAATCACCCAGCAGTGCTATTTGCAGCGTTAGCTTCAGGTAAATGTTGCAATTCTTCAGCCATATAGCAATGTGGGGAGGACAACAGCTTTGTAGACCAAGAGTTTCATTTGGACCTGTAGGTAATGGTCTTCAAATACTATTTTTCTCGGTCTTGCGTAAGCTCCACTGGCACAACTCAAGCGGTGATTTATCTCTGAGTGAAGGTCGGCTTTGGAGGAGAGAAGGCTGCCAAGGTATGGGAAGTGATTCACATTTTCAAGGGTGTTATTGTCAACCTGTATTGTGGGCGGAGTAGGGGTCTTGTTGGGTGTTGGTTGGGAAAGGATTTATGTCTTCTTTAAATTCAAGGCTAGACCCAGGGGCCTGTATGCCTTGGCCAAGGCATCCAGGATTCACTTGGGGGTCTTCTTCGGAGTGTGCTGCGATGGCATTGTCGTCGGCATACTGAAGCTCCATGAGGGTGATGGTGAAGACTTCGCTTTTGGCCTTGAACCTGTTGAGGATGAACAGCCTGCCATCTGTCCGGTACAGGATTAGAATTTATTGTGGCAGGTCTTGGCTAATGAGGTGGCAGCGATGAAGACGGCAAACCAGGTGGGTGCGATGATGGAGCCCTGTTTGATCCATCTCCACAGTGACGGGCTCTGACTCAGAGCCATTGTTGCACAGACATGTCATCATGCAGAAGCCTCAGTATTCCAATGAATTGTCAGGGCAGCCATATTTCGAGAGTATCTGCCAGAGAGTGGCGGTCAACTGTGTCTAAGGATTTTGTTAGGTCTATGAAGGCCATGCACAATGCCTTCTTTTGTTCCCGCCATTTCTCTTGTTAGCGTGCTGTGAAAATCATATCTACAGTACCTCTGGATGGGCGGAAGCCACACTGCGATTCTGGGAGTACATCCTCAGACTGGCCTAGCAGTCGGTTGGCAAGGAGATGTGTAACTACTTTGCCTGTGGTTGACAGGAGGGAATTGCCTCTGTAGTTCCCACACTCTGCCTTGTCTCCCTTTTTGAAGATGGTCACTATCAGAGCATCCCTGAGCTCTGAGGGTAGTTCGTCCTTGTCCCAGATCTTCAGGAGCAGGGCATGTATGTGGTGCAGGAGCTCTGGTCCGCCTTCCTTTAGGATTTCTGCTGGAATCCCGTCTGGCCCGGCGGTAAGCTTGGGCGGTATCCAGATTTTTATATCGTCACACTGTCCTTCTCTCAGCCCGGGATTTACGGTATTACTGGCATAGCACACAAGGGGGTGCTAAAAATGCAAGAAAAGACCATTGGGCCTCTATTACCAGAATGCTAACAACATTTCACAAACTAATAGCAAAATCACATAGCCTTAGCTAAATGCTAACGAGCGAAATCGAACATAAACTAATTGCAAAAATGGGTAAATCCAGCTCATAAAGTTATACAAGCATAGCTAGTAGCTACAGAATGTCATTTTCGGTGAGTGTGGACATTTACAAGCGAAAGTGAATGAGAGACATTTTGCAAATGAACAAAGTTTTGATGCTTTTCTGAAGGAAGAGCAGCATGTGTACACAGAGCAAAGGGGAGAAGAATGGAGGAGTACAGTGGTCACCAGCCGGTCAATCACGATCGACTGGTCAATCTTCAAGGCACTCGTAGTCGATCACCAAACATTTCTGTAGAAAAGCCAATGGTAAAGGCATAAAGGCTTGCGTTCCTTTTTTCGTGTTATTCATGTTGCGTTGTTGGCAGTAGGTGCACTTGTTTCAGAAGCCCTGTGTACAGGGTAGGCAAAGTGTTCCCATTTTGATCCATTTAATTTATCGGAAAAGATAAACTCCACCAACCCGGCAGACCGGGAGATCTGTGGCTAAATCGAGTGTGCCTACTGCGATGATCAATCGAATAGCTCAAATCATGACTCCGGCCACAGCACAGTTTGATACTGGCCTATGTGAGATTTCATAACTTTTGAAACCATGACCAGAATAGACTGTCAAAGAATATAGCAAAGAGCGGCTGTTTTTATGAGTGAGTTCATGTCTAACTTTTTATTCAGCGCTGTCAATACTGTTTTTATTCAACACTATTACAAAACGCACTTCTCCCTACTTTCATTCGCTCTGCAATGAATGAGTAGCCAAGTGTATCGATAGCCCTGCGTTTTAATTATTATTAGTAGCTCGTCGTGTACATTTTAAAATCGAGGAATATTTCTGTTTCTCTGGTCATAGGAACAACACTAGGCTGATGCGGTGCAACACGAGTTTCACCATTAAGTGGAAGACTGTGTCCCCTCTCTCTGGTCAGTCTCACCAGGGGGAAAAGCAGAGAGCAGGCACCGTGAGAGGCAGACCCTCTGCTGCTCTCTACCTCCCTCCACTGAGACTAATGCTGTGTTCAAAACAACTAGTAACTTGGAAATCTCCGACTTCAGAGCGTTCAAGACAACTGGAAAAGCTTCATATTGTAAAATAATGTGACAGGTGAAATGAAGAACACAATCTGCTTTATCTCCTAACATATTGCACAAGTTGACTGCAGGTATTAACTTAAAAAGTAGTTACAAATATTGAAAGTTATTGAAAAACTTAAAATAAATAGTTTTGACGGTATTGAATAACCATCCCGCGGCTTTTTCCAAATACCCCGGTATACGGTATATACGGTATACCGCCCAAGCCTACCCGGTGGCTTTGTTTTTCAGGCTCCTGATGGCATCATGCACCTCGGTCACACTGAGGTTCCCCCATGTCACCTCTCATGGATCTCTGGGGGATTTGGTTGATAACCTCCAGTTCAGCGATGCTGTTGCATTTGATGAGTTCTTGAAAGTGCTCTCTCCATCGGATGTTGATTGCCTCGTTGTCCTTCAACAATGTTTGTGGAGCGGATAAGGTGATGATATGTCAAGCAGTCATCTACACTGATTATGGCCCTGGTGACGTTAACATCACGGAAGTCCCTAGCTCGAACAATGACATAATCAATGAGATGCCACCGTTTGGAGCGGGGGTGCCTCCAAGATGCATTGAGTTTATTTTTATGGTGGACGAGAGTGTTGGTGATGGTAAGGTCATACTTAGCACATTTGGTGAGAGGAATTCCATTGGAGTTGAGCCCAGCGACTGAATCTAACACCCACCGCCTGATGTGCCAGCTCGTGACTAGGAGCTTTCAGATCTCACAATCCTGCCCCGTTAGCCACTTGCTGAACTCCATAGGACTTAGGTCCGGGATGTTTAGGGCGGATTCCCTTTTGGAGGAAGCCTTTGCGTGACATTGTTTAACACTAGAACCAGTAAAGCAGTAATTTGGACTGCTCATGAATTAAAACATTTTATTAATCTGACATTTTTAAAGTAATGTCCCCCTCCTTCCTTGACTTTTCCTAAATAAGTCTATATAACAATCTGTCATTGTTAGAATCTTGATATCACAAACAGAACTGGAGTTATGACAATAATTGACTATTTTTGACTGCTGTCATATCGACACTTACATTTCTTATAATGCCATTATTGGTTTTGTGCTGAGTTTCACTGTTTATCAAGCACACTTGGCGCTTAAAATTATGTTTAGGCTACTGATGTTTTCATTTGACCACGCGTCTTGCTGACCGTGCGTCTTGGTGGTTGGGGTATTTCTTTTATTTTGTCGTTATAAAAAGAAGCTGTTAGTGTTCCAACAGATGCTTTCTGTTTCATAGTTGTAAGAAAGGCACTCCACAAATACAATTTATTGAACTTTGAATTGAATTTTGTTTTGTGTTTTTATTTAGACCCCTTGACTTTTTCCACATTTTGTGACGTTACAGCCTTATTCTAAAATGTATTTAATTGTTTTTTCCCCTCATCAATCTACACACAATACCCCATAATGGCAAAGCAAAAACATGTTTATTGAAATGTTTGCTAATTTATTAAAAATAAATACATTTACATAAGTATTCAGACCCTTTACTCTGTACTATGTTGAAGCACCTTTGGCAGCGATTACAGCCTCGAGTCTTCTTGGGTATAACGCTACAAGTTTGGCAAACCTGTATTTGGGGAGTTTCTCCCATTCTTCTCTGCCAATCCTCTCAAGCCCTGTCAGGTTGGATGGGGAGCGTTGCCGCACAGTTATTTTCAGGTCTCTCCAGAGATGTTCGATCGGGTTCAAAGTCCGGGCTCTGGCTGGCCACTCAAGGACATTCAGAGACTTGCCCTGAAGCCACTCCTGCGTTGTCTTGGCTGTGTGTGCTTAGGGTCGTTGTCCTGTTGAAGGTGAACCTTTGCCCAGTCTGAGGTCCTGAGCACTCTGGACAGGTTTTCATCAAGGGGATCTCTCTGTACTTTGTCTCGTTCATCTTTCCCTCACTACCTGACTATTCTCCCAGTCCCTACACGCTGAAAACATCCCTGCAGCATGATGCTGCCACCATCATGCTTCACCGTAGGGAATGGGCCAGGTTTCCTCCATATATGACGCTTGGCATTCAGGCCAAAGAGTTCAATCTTGGTTTCATCGACCAGAGACTGTTTCTCATGTCTGAGAGTCTTTAGGTGCCTTTTGGCAACTCCAGGCGGCTGTCATGTGCCTCTTACTGAGGATTGGCTTCCGTGCTGGCCACCTACCTAAAGGGCTGATTGGTGGGGGAGTGCTGCAGAGATGGTTGTCCCTTCTGGAAGGTTCTCCCCATCTCCACAGGGAGGAATCTAGAGCTCTTCCAAAGTGACCATCGGGTTTCTTGGTCACCTCCTGACCAAGGTTCCAAACCTTCAATGCTGCAGACATTTTTTGGTACCCTTCCCCAGATCTGTGCCTCGACACAATCCTGTCTCTGAGCTCTACGGACAATTCCTTCGACCTCATGGCTTGATTTTTGCTCTGACATGGACTGTCAACTGTGGGACCTTTATATAGACAGGTGTGTGCCTTTCCAAATCATGTCCAATCAATTGAATATACCACAGGTGGACTCCAATCCAGTTGTAGAAACATCTCAAGGATGATAATGGAAACAGGATGCAGCTGAGCTCAATTATCAAGTCTCATAGCAAAGGGTCTGAATACTTATGTAAATAAGGTATTTATGTTTTTGATTTGTTATACATTTGCAAAAATGTCTAAACCTGTTTTCACTTTGTCATTATGGGGTACTGTGTAGATTGTTGAAAGAAAAAAATATTGAATCCATTTTAGAATAAGGCTGTAACGTAACAAAATGTGGAAAAAGTCAAGAGGTCTGAATACTTTCCGAATGCACTGTATATACACATGTTCATAAACACACCAACAGTGTAAAAGACACACCCTGTAATCAATTACGTAACAAGTTGTTAGAAAGTAAGTAGAAACTCGGCCCTCCCTCCCCAGGACATGGATTGTGGCAACGAAGCCTAGACCCCCTTGATCCGCATATGCCTACAATTTCATTACAAGTCGTCACATCCCAAGACAGCGGTCGTCATGTGCCTTTTATGGAGGAGTAGCTTTCCGTCTGGCCACTCTACCATAAAGGCCTGATTTGGGGAGTGCTGCGGAGATGGTTGTCCTTCTGGAAGGTTCTCCCATCTCCACAGAGGAACTCTAGAGCTCTGTCAGAGTGACCATTGGGTTCTTGTTCACCTCCCTGACCAAGGCCCTTCTCCCCCGATTGCTCAGTTTGGCCGGGCGGCCAGCTCTAGGGAGAGTCTTGGTGGTTCCAAACTTCTTCCATTTAAGAATAATGGCGGCTACTGTGTTCTTGGGGACCTTCAATGCTGCAGAAATTATTTGGTACCCTTCCGCAGATCTGTGCCTCGACACAATCCTGTCTCGGAGCACAGGTGGACTCCAATCAAGTTGTAGAAACATCTCAAGGATGGTCAATGGAAACAGGATGCACCGTAGCTCAATTTCGAGTCTCATAGCAAAGGGTCTGAATACTTATGTAAATAAGGTATTTCTGTGTGTAACTTTTAATACATTTGCAAACATTTATACAAACCAGTTTTTTTTTATTTAATCCATTTTAGAATAAGGCTGTAACATAACAAAATGTGGAAAAAGTCAAGGGGTATTTCTTAAAAGCTGATTCAAATGTTAGATTTTCTCCAACTCTGGTCCTGTTGTGTCATTGTTTATTAGCAGGAAAATAGGTTTAAAGCCTGCTTTAAATCCTAACCGATTCTCTCTATATGTAAATGTCTGTGTCTCTCTGTGTGTGTGTAGTGTACGGTAAGCCTGTGATCCCCGGCGGAGGCCCCCAGCATCCAGAGAATCCTTACAGCGAGCAGCAACACTCCCCAGACCAGCACTCTGAGGTGGACCACGGGGTCCCCCATGCCCCCCCCACCGAGGGACAGCAGGGGGAGACAGAACGCACCCCCCGTCCCCTCAGCCCGACCAAGCTGCTGCCCTTCATCTCCAATCCCTACCGCCACCAGAGCGACGGGGACCTGGAGGCCCTCAGGAAGAAGCTGTACAACGCCCCACGGCCCTTGAAGAAACGCAGCTCTATCACAGAGCCCGAGGGCCCCGCGGGGCCCAACATCCAGAAACTGCTATACCAGAAAACCACACTGGCTGCAATGGAGACCATCCTCACCACGCCCACCACACACGAGGCTGTGAAGGAGGAGGGAGGGGCAAGGCCTGGTGTTCCAGGGGCCCAGATTGGTGGGGAGAGCAACCAACAGGAGAGTGTAACACTTGAGGCTGGTGAAGTCCTGCCCCCCTCCCCTAACCTCCTCCCCCCACTCCCTGCGGAGCAGACTCCCCCACCAGCCATCCCAAAGGGAGACCAAGAGGAGTTCACCCCCCCTCCCCATCCGGCCCATCCTGCGCCGCGACCTGACCAGCCCCTGTTCCCCCCATCGCCCCCCCCTGCTGCTGCTGCTGGCATGGAGGAGCCCAGCCTGCCCCTTCCTCCAGAGAGTTTCATGGAGGAGTTCCCCCCCTACCCCCCACCACCCTACCCCAGCGGGGCTGAGCAGGAGAGCCTGGAGGAGGACACTCTCAGTATGCAGGCACCGGAGGTCACCGGACAGGTCACATTGCCACCTGTAAGAAACCTAAGTTACACTGTTGTTTTAATTATGATACATTTCATTTTAAATGCCTTCCATGACACTCATAAACATCAGCTCGCAATCAAACACATTTAACACCAGTCCCAGACCAAACACATCCTCTACTTGCTGCAAATAGCTTACCAGTCCTAAGCCATAGCATGTATTAACAATAGCCGACTGTACTCTACAGTACTGTATGTGCCTCATGTTGTTTATCAGTCTCATGGTCGAATCATGGGTTCTTCTGACTGTTCAGATTATAGATTACATGTTCACCCTCCACCCTCTCATTGGTTATATAAGCACAGTAATCCTGATCAAGTGCAGTAAGAAGAGGAACCTACAGTGCCTTGCAAAAGTATTTATCCCCCTTGGCGATTTTCCTATTTTGTTGCATTACAACCTGTAATTTCAATTCATTTTTATTTGGATTTCATATAATGGACATACACAAAATAGTCCCAGAGTCTGCAACACCACTAAGCAAGGGGCACCACCAAGCAAGCGGCACCATGAAGACCAAGGAGCTCTCCAAACAGGTCAGGGACAAAGTTGTGGAGAAGTACAGATCAGGGTTGGGTTCTAAAAAAATATCAGAAACTTTGAACATCCCACGGAGCACCATTTAAATCCATTATTAAAAAATGGAAAGAATATGGCACCACAACAAACCTGCCAAGAGAGGGCTGCCCACCAAAACTCACGGACCAGGCAAGGAGGGCATTAATCAGAGAGGCAACAAAGAGACCAAAGATAACCCTGAAGGAGCTGCAAAGCTCCACAGCGGAGATTGGAGTATCTGTCCATAGGACCACTTTAAGCCGTACACTCCACAGAGCTGGGCTTTACGGAAGAGTGGCCAGAAAAAAGCCATTGCTTAAAGAAAAAAATAAGCAAACACGTTTGGTGTTCGCCAAAAGGCATGTGGGAGACTCCCCAGACATATGGAAGAAGGTACTCTGGTCAGATGAGACTAAAATTGAGCTTTTTGGCCATCAAGGAAAACGCTATGTCTGGGGCAAACCCAACACCTCTCATCACCCTAAGAACACCATTCCCACAGTGAAGCATGGTTGTGGCAGAATCATGCTGTGGGGATGTTTTTCATCGGCAGGGACTGGGAAACTGGTCAGTATTGAAGGAATGATGGATGGCGCAAAGTACAGGGAAATTCTTGAGGGAAACTTGTTACAGTCTTCCAGAGATTTGAGATTGTGATGGAGGTTCACCTTCCAGCAGGACAATGACCCTAGGCATACTGCTAAAGCAACACTCGAGTGGTTTAACGGGAAACATTTAAATGTCTTGGGATGGCTTAGTCAAAGCCCAGACCTTAATCCAATTGAGAATCTGTGATATGACTTAAAGATTGCTGTACACCAGCGGAACCGATCCAACTTGAAGGAGCTGGAGCAGTTTTGCCAACAACAAAAAAATCCCAGTAGCTAGATGTGCCAAGCTTATAGAGACATACCCCAAGAGACTTGCAGCTGTAATTGCTGCAAAAGGTGTCTCTACAAAGTATTGACTTTGGGGGGTGAATAGTTATGCACACTCAAGTCTTCTGTTTTTTTGTCTTATTTCTTGTTTGTTTCACAATAAAACATATATTTTGCATCTTCAAATTGTTAGGCATGTTGTGTAAATCAAATGATACAAACCCCCCCAAAAAATCAATTTTAATTCCAGGTTGTGAGGGAACAAAATAGGAAACATGCCAAGGGGGGGTGAATACGTGCGCAAGACACTCTTAATTCAATACAGTGGGAAAAAAGTATTTAGTCAGCCCCCAATGTGCAGTTCTCCCACTTAAAAGAATCTCATAGCAAGTAACATACAGACCATTGGGAAAAATCAGCTGAAAGAATTTTTTCAATGATGTGGAAATAAGTATTTGGCCCTACAAACAGCAGATTTTGGCTTCACAACGTATGCTCTCTCCCCCACTTGTATTATTAATCTTTTGCTTGTTTCAGATACACCCGTCCACAACTCAAACAGACCCAAACTCCACTAGCCAAGACCAAGAGCGCAAAGGACATCACAACAAAATTGTAACTGCCCAGTACTATCTCAATTAGCATGGTTTGAGAATCAACTGTGGGAGAAATTATTAGGAAATGGAAGACATACAAGACCACTGATAATCTCCCTTGATCTGGGGCTCCACGCAAGATCTCACCCTGTGGGGTCAAAATGATCACAAGAACGGTGAGCAAAAATCTCAGAACCACACGGGGGGACCTAGTGAATGACCTGCAGAGAGCTGGGACCAAAGTAACAAAGCCTACCATCAGTAACACACTACGCCACCAGGGACTCAAATCCTGCAGTGCAAGTCGTGTCCCCCTGCTTAAGCCAGTACATGTCCAGGCCCGTCTGAAGTTTGCTAGAGTGCATTTGGATGATCCAGAAGAGGATTGGGAGAATGTCATGTCATATGGTCAGATGAAACCAAAATATAACTTGTCATGTTTGGAGGACAAAGAATGCTGAGTTGCATCCAAAGAACACCATACCTACTGTGAAGCATGGGGGTGGAAACATCATGCTTTGGGGCTGTTTTTCTGCAAAGGTACCAGGACGACTGATCCGTGTAAAGGAAAGAATGAATTGGGCCATGTATCGTGTGATTTTGAGTGAAAACCTCCTTCCATCAGCAAGGACATTGAAGATGAAACGTGGCTGGGTCTTTCAGCATGACAATGATCCCAAACACACCACCCGGGCAACGAAGGAGTGGCTTCGTAAGAAGCATTTCAAGGTCCTGGAGTGGCCTAGCCAGTCTCCAGATCTCAACCCCATAGAAAATCTTTGGAGGGAGTTGAAAGTCCGTGTTGCCCAGCGACAGCCCCAAAACATCACTGCTCTAGAGGAGATCTGCATGGAGGAATGGGCCAAAATACCAGCAACAGTGTGTGAAAACCTTGTGAAGAGTTACAGAAAACGTTTGACCTGTGTCATTGCCAACAAAGGGTATATAACAAAGTATTGAGAAACTTTTGTTATTGACCAAATACTTATTTTCCACCATAATTTGCAAATAAATTCATTAAAAATCCTACAATGTGATTTTCTGGATTTATTTTCCTCATTTTGTCTGTTATAGTTGATGTGTACCTATGATGAAAATTACAGGCCTCTCTCATCTATCCTAATCAAAAAAGAAATAGCTATGCTTCAGTAAGCCTTCACTCTTCCCCCATTCAAAGGTGACAATGAAATGTCAAAAGGGCCCTTTCTTTCATGGGGCTAGTAATTACCATAATCTGGTTGTGTAATAATCAGGTTGCTTAGTGAAACCATTTTGTTTCTTCAATGATTTGGTCCCGTCACAATAAGCTCAGTACTGAGCTAGGAGCTAAAGGAACAGATTGCTCATATCTTTTTTCTCTTTCAAGCCAGGGTAGATGCACAATCAATGGATACTCTGGATGCTCTATCAAATCGTGTTTGCAATGTGTTAATTTTTCTTTAGCTTGGTGTTGCATTGTGGACTGGCACCCGTTCCAAGTGAACTGAGCATTGATTTGGAATGTGGCTCAAGGACCTCCATACATCACCTCTCTATCCATTTGAGCACAGATGGGATAGGACACTAGCTAACATTCTCAGACACTTCCTTGTGAGTGTGTGTCAGTGGCTGTGTGACTTCATCAAGGTGTGACATTGTTTGAAAAGTGTACTCACCTCCGTGTGTCTGTATTAGGGGAAGAGGACCAACCTGCGTAAGACTGGCTCGGAAAGGATCGACCACAGTATGAGGGTAAAGTTTAACCCCCTGGCCCTGCTCCTGGACTCCTCTCTGGAGGGAGAGTTTGACCTGGTCCAGAGGATCATCTACGAGGTAAGACTATGTCTGTGTATGTATAGATACAGTTGAAGTCGGAAGTTTACATACACCTTAGCCAAATACATTTAAACTCAGTTTTTCACAATTCCTGACAATTAATCCTAGTAAAAATTATTTTTATAAATTATATATTATTTTAAGAATGTGAAATGTCAGAATAATAGTAGAGAGAATGATTTTATTTCAGCTATTATTTATTTCATCACATTCCCAGTGGGTCAGAAGTTTACATACACTCAATTCGTATTTGGTAGCATTGCCTTTAAATTGTTTAACTTGGGTCAAACGTTTCGGGCAACCTTCCACAAGCTTCCCACAATAAGTTGGGTGAATTTTGGCCCATTCCTCCTGACAGAGCTGGTGTAACTGAGTCAGGTTTGTAGGCCTCCTTGCTCGCACACGCTTTTTCAGTTCTGCCCACACATTTTCTATAGGATGGTCAGGGCTTTGTGATGGCCACTCCAATACCTTGACTTTGTTGTCCTGCAACAACTTTGGAAGTATGCTTGGGGTCATTGTCCATTTGGAAGACCCATTTGCGACCAAGCTTTAACTTCCTGACTGATGTCTTCAGATGTTGCTTCAATATATCCACATAATCTTCCTTCCTCATGATGCCATCTATTTTGTGAAGTGCACCAGTCCCTCCTGCAGCAAAGCACCCCCACAGCATGATGCTGCCACCCCCATGCTTCACAGTTGGGATGGTGTTCCTTGGCTTGCAAGCCGCCCCCCTTTTCCTCCAAACATAATGATGGTCATTATGGCCAAGCAGTTCTATTTTTGTTTAATCAGACCAGAGGACATTTCTCCAAAAAGTATGATCTTTGCAGTTGCAAACCGTAGTCTGGCTTTTTTATGGTGGTTTTGGAGCAGTGGCTTCTTCCTTGCTGAGCGGCCTTTCAGGTTATGTCGATATAGGACTCGTTTTACTGTGGATATAGATACTTTTATACCTGTTTCCTCCAGCATCTTCCCAAGGTCCTTTGCTGCTGTTCTGGGATTGATTTGCACATTTCGCACCAAAGTACGTTCATCACTAGGAGACAGAACACGTCTCCTTCCTGAGCGGTATGACTGCTGCGTGGTCCCATGGTGTTTATACTTGCGTACTATTGTTTGTACAGATGAACGTGGTACCTTCAGGCATTTGGAAATTGCTCCCAAGGATGAACCAGACTTGTGGAGGTCTACAATTTTTTTTCTGAGGTCTTGGCTGATTTCTTTTGATTTTCCCATGATGTCAAGCAAAGAGGCACTGAGTTTGAAGGTAGGCCTTGAAATACATCCACAGGTACACCTCCAATTGACTCAAATGATGTCAATTAGCCTATCAGAAGCTTCTAAAGCCATTACATCATTTTCTGGAATTTTCCAAGCTGTTTAAAGGCACAGTCAACTTAGTGGTTGTAAACTTCTGACCCACTGGAATTGTGATACAGTGAATTATAAGTGAAATAATCTGTCTGTAAACAATTGTTGGAAAAATTACTTGTGTCATGCACAAAGTAGATGTCCTAACCGACTTGCCAAAACTATAGTTTGTTAACAAGATATTTGTGGAGTGGTTGAAAAACGAGTTTTAATGAATCCACCCTAAGTGTATGTAAACTTCCGACTTCAACTGTATATACTTTATATTATTCCCTAAAGTAGCTCTCTATTAAGGTATTTTGTAAACAAAAACGTTCATAGACGAACAGTGTTTACAAGTGCTTTTTAACAGGCTTGTGTGTAGAGAAGGAAAATGTGTAAGGTGTTTTTGTAATAGCAGGTAGCATGGTAGCTGGTAAACCATCACTCACAAAAAGTGAAGTAGTCGTAATGTTTTTTTTTTTTTGTCTTAGCTGATTATACATTTTATTAAGTGGGTGTAAAATATTCTGTGTGTGTAAACCGAGTTGTAAAATCGTATCCACCTTTCTCTCCCATCTCAGGTGGAGGACCCTAGTCTGCCTAATGATGAGGGGATCACAGCCCTCCACAACGCAGTCTGTGCCGGACACACGGAGATCGTCAAGTTCTTGGTGCAGTTTGGCGTCAGCGTCAACGCAGCCGACAGTGATGGATGGTGAGTGGACCCTATACTACCAACACCTCTGATTGTGGTTCTTACTGCAGCCAGTGAAAGGAGTGTGAACTCTTACTTGAAAGAATTTTGGAATGTATGGTTAGATTATTTTTATTTTTTTCTTATCACAATCTTTCTCTTTCTTCCTCTCCCTCTCTCCCTCTCCCTCAGGACTCCGCTGCACTGCGCTGCCTCCTGTAATAACGTGCAGGTGTGTAAGTTCCTGGTTGAGTCGGGAGCAGCAGTGTTTGCTATGACCTACAGCGACATGCAGACAGCAGCGGATAAGTGTGAGGAGATGGAGGAGGGATACACCCAGTGCTCCCAGTTCCTCTATGGTTAGTAGCTCAACATCTACTGGTCCTATAGCCCTGAGTGTTATGTCTGGGAAAGTTTATGTGTTTGCGTGCATATATCTGTGTGTGTAGGCTTTGTACATTTTTGTTTGAGTGTGTGTGTTCTTGCTCTACTAACACCCATTCTCCTCCTTTCTCTCCTCCAGGAGTGCAGGAGAAGATGGGCATCATGAACAGGGGCGTGGTCTACGGCCTGTGGGACTACTCCAATGACAATTCTGATGAGCTGGTGTTCCACGAGGGCGACTGCATGACCATTGTTCGCCGGGAAGACGAGGACGAGATCGAGTGGTGGTGGGCACGCATGGGCGACACCGAGGGGTACATCCCTCGGAACCTTCTGGGAGTGAGTCACAGTGTCAGAACTGAGTTTCCTCAAGTTAAACATTACTGAATAACTTTGCATTAAGAGGTTAATTATTGTTTGATAATATTCCAATGTACCTAATAAGCAGTGTGTGTGTCTGCTTTCTCAACAGCTTTACCCAAGAATCAAGCCTAGACAGAGAAGCCTGGCTTAGACCTGCTCATCCTGAACTGGACACTGGCTGCGTCTTAGGCTACATTTACATAGGTAGCCCAATTCTAATATTTTTTCCACTAATTGGTATTTTGACCAATCACATCAGATCTTTTCACATCAGATCTTTTTTAGAGCTGATCTGATTGGTCAAAAGAACAATTAGTGGAAAAAAGTCAGAATTGGGCTGCCTGTCTAAATGCAACCTTATTGGTCCACAGTGGCTTCCTCTCCTCGTCTTCTCTCTGCGTCTTTTTCTGCTTCATCTGCTCTGACCTGTCAGGATGGGTGGTAGTAATATGTTCGAAGGTTCCAGGGTGATTTGATCTCACTTTGCCAGCTCTTTCACATCAGGTGAGGATGAATGAAATTAGGCAAGGGGAAAGGAGCCAGTTGAGACGATTGAGACAACAATTGATATGCAAATCCACGCAGGCTTTAACAGGACTGTACAAGGACAATCTTATCAATCATATGAAGAAACGTTGAGAGACCAAACCACTTGAAGGATTTTAAACTGACCTATGAACACTACTCTACAGGCGGGCCTATAACCACTGACTCTATGGCCCGACTGAGGCACTTTTATATACCAGCAGAAGAAGTTTTCCACACTTATTTTTTCAGACCACTGTGTGTGTATAAGGCACTAAAGGCATTATGTTTCTCTACATGTTTGTCGTATTGTTTTCAGATCAGATTTAAGTATCTGCAGTTATCGGAACTCTGTGGGGATAAATGGAACAAACAGTATTTTTATGTAGAAAGGTGATTTTTACACTTTTAAATATTCTTTCAAACTTTTCTTCTGGGTTATTATTTTATTTTAACCCTGTCGGAAAGCGCTGGAGCTGAAGAGACTATTAGTTGAGTGAATTAATGAGTGTAATGTTTGGTGATACATGACATTCTGTCTGAACAGTTATTCTGTTACCACGACAATCCCTGTGGGGGCTCGGTCTGCTTGTAATTTCCTGTTTTTAGTGGCTGTGTCCCTCTGTATTGGCAAGGGTTAATGTGTGTGTGTGTGTGTGTGTGTGTGTGTGTGCGCCGCTATTACCACTGTCCAGCTTATGAAATTGGGGGTGAAATGTATAATGTTAGGATGACAAAATTTAGCCTATGCCACTGTTGAATTAGCTATTGCTATTGACTCTTGTTGTTCTATGATGCCAATATAGCCTGTGGTATATTTTCTATGTGAGCAGATATTAGCATTGCTCATTATGTTTCTCTACACTGGCTTTATGGTTGAGATATAACAAACATATTTGTACTGCGTTTGTGCAATTGTCACAACGAACATGCCTCGTAAACTCTTAACTCACTTGTCGAATCCATATCGTCTGTTGCTGAAATGATGTCCATGCAATTAATTTGGACCATTTACCATGTAGGAAGGATGAGACTAAACTTAAAGAAACCGTTTTCACGTTATATCTGTGTAGCTTGGCTTGAAGAGTAAGAGACGGCAAAGATTCATGCTTACAATGACAGACAAGGATGTCTTTCCTTAAAATCGCTCAACAAGTTTGAGTTAATCAGCTCATTCATAGTAAGGAATTCTGCAGCAACTCTCCTCCACCCTTACCACTGTCTACTCAACAGATGTATTTATTTTTGTTACCTTATTATCATAATGTTTTGTCTCATCAAATCTATAACCTCATATGTAGAATTGTAAACATTTGCAATAAAATACTTTGTAAACTAATGGCTGTGACTGTGTCTTCTAGACCTGGGGCCGTATCAAGCGTATAAGAGTAGGAGTGCTGTTTAGGATACATTTTCCCTTTCAGATCACAATGAATAAGATTACATGGACAATGGGGACTTGATCCTAGATCAGCACTGCTACTCTGAGACGCTCGACGCATACGGTCCCAGATAGTTGTGTGCTAGCATTAGAATGATCCTATCCTCTTTTTGTGAGATGAAATAGTGCTCTGCATTCTTGAAAATATGTAAGTATCTTAATCGCCTGTGAATGATGTTGTACATTAATTTGTTTCAGGTAAGTCTCTTGTTATAGTAGTTTACTTGAGATAGGAAGCATTGAAATACACATGAAGCAGTGGAATACATAAACATGGGAATACACAGAGGAACACCGACCTACAGCAGTCTGTTATATGCTGAACAGAAATATAAATGCAACATGTAACGATTTCATTTGTTTTACTGAGTTACAGTTCATATAAGGAAATCGTTCAATTGAAATACATTCATTAGGCCATAATCTATGAATTTCACATGACTGGGCAGGGGTGCCACCACTTGGGAGCTAGGCCCACCCAGCCAATCAGAGTTAAGTTTTTCCGTACAAAAGGGCTTTATTACAGACAGAAACACTCCTCGCTTTCATCAGCTGTCCGGGTGGCTGGTCTCTGATGATCCCGCAGGTGAAGAAGACAGATTTGGAGGTCCTGGGCTGGCGTGGTTACATGTGGTCTGCGGTTGTGAGGCCGTTTGGATGCACTGCCAAATTCTCTAAAACGACATTGGAGGTGGCTTATGGTAGAGAAATGAACATTAAATTATCTGGCAACAGCTCTGGTGGACATTCCTGCAGTCAGCATGCCAATTGCACGCTCCCTCAAAACTTGAGACATCTATGGCATTGTTTTGTGTGACAAAACTGCACATTTTGTGGCCTTTTATTGTCACCAGAACAAGGTGCACCTGTGTAATGATCAAGCTGTTTGATAATCCATCCACCTGACAGGTGTGGCATATATTGGCAAAGGAGGAATGCTCACTAACAGGAATGTAAACAAATTTGTGCACAACATTTGAGCAAATAAGCTTTTTGTCCGTATGAAACATTTCTGGAATCTTTTATTTTAGCTCATGAAACATGGGACTAGAACTTTACATCTTGCGTTTATATTTTTGTTCAGTATAGTTTTTCAGAAAATCAAAAAGAACAATCTGCCTTTGTCTAGAATATGTAATCACTGGCAATAATTAAGCCAGCAGAGCCTGCACAATGAAAAAGAACAAGGCTGTGATAGACTGGTAGTAGTCTTAATCAATTTCTGCACCTTACCCATTTACCTTAACCCTACCCTTTCAATTATATATATATATATATATATATATATATATATATATATATATATATATATATATATATTTCCAGATCAGTAACCCCCAAAGAGGTAGAGGCAAGGGACTGAAATGAAACTGGGCCTAGGTTTGTCATTTGGAGGGACTTCACTCTCTGTTGAGCTGCTGCCACCTGCTGGAGAGAAAGAGAACCTTCAGGTAATTTTGTCAGCAAGACGCATCAATTAATTCAGGCTACAAGAGTGTTGACACCTTTGATGTTTTGTCTCTTTCAATTAATCAAATGGCTCGAGTGTAACTGATAGTGGCCGCTAGATCTAGGATTGATGTACATTCCCGGTAATACACTAGTGTCCTCTGTGGACCGGCTCCTACATAAATCATCCTCCAATCAGGCTGCAAAGGCATAATTTTCCTCCTTAGCTAGCTTTAATGGCGAGCCGCCTGAAAAAAAAGGAAAAAATATGTGTACTGTCTTAATAAAACAATTTTCCACCCCCGTTTTTGGATTTTCAGACAAATTTGGATGTTGCACACCCTTGCATATGTAAGAGCCGGTCCACGGGGGACATGAGTGTATTACCAGGAATTAAATTCAATCCTAGACGATGGGACGATTATGAGTTAGAGTCAAGTCGGGATGCCATAGGGTCGCTAGCAAAGCCGGAAGAATATGATTATTGGGACAGGGACACGAAAAGGTGGTTGCGGAGGAGGAAGAAGAGGTCGAAGAGAATGAGGAAAGCAGAGGTTGAATCTGAATTTGTTGAAGATGACAATAAAAAGGGAGATGGTGTGTCGAAGAAGACTGGGTCAAGTACAGACAGAGTGAGATGTCCGCCAGACCGAGCTCTGGAGGTGAAATGGAAGTGAATGAGGGAGATTTAAGTGAGGTGGAAGGTGTGGTGAGCACGGAGCCCGAGCCTTGCATCGATGGACATGGTTATGATTAAGATGAGTTTGGCCCAGTGGGAGTGAGATTCATGGAGAAAGTGGATCCAGGCCTTTTGGCTGATCCATACAGTGCATTCGAAAAGTATTCAGACCGCTTCACTTTTTCCACATTTTGTTATGTTACGGCCTTATACTAAAATCCTCATCAATCTACACAGGATACCCCATAATGACGAAGCGAAAACAGGTTTTTATAAATGTTTGCAAATTTATAAAAAATAACAGAAATACCTTATTTACATAAGTATTCAGACCCTTTGCTATGAGACTCGAAATTGAGCGACGGTGCATCCTGTTTCCATTCATCATCCTTGAGATGTTTCCACAACTTGATTGGAGTCCGCCTGTGGTAAATTAAATTGATTGGACATGATTTGGAAAGGCACACACCTGTCTATATAAGGTCCCACAGTTGGCAGAGCAAAAACCAAGCCATGAGGTCGAAGGAATTGTCTATAGAGCTCTGAGACAGGATTGTGTCGAGGCACAGATAGGGGGAAGGGTACCAAACAATTTCTGTGCATTGAAGGTCCCCAAGAACACAATGGCCTCCATCATTCTTAAATGGAAGAAGTTTGGAACCACCAAGACTCTTCCTAGAGCTGGCCGCCCGGCCAAACTAAGCAATTGGGGGAGAAGGGCCTTGGTCAGGGAGGTGACCAAGAACCCGATGGTCAATCTGACAGAGCTCCAGAGTTCTTTATGGTAGAGTGGCCAGATGGAAGCCACTCCTCAGTAAAAGGCACATGACAGCCCACTTGGAGTTTGACAAAAGGCACCTAAAGGACTCTCAAACCATGAGA